CAGGGCCGAACGTGTCATATGATAATTCAACGGCCTTATGTCTCATACAAGCAATACAGCGACCGAAAGGTCGACCTAAAAGCAGCATTTGTTCTCTGGAGCTCTCCGTAGAAAACGTACCAATCGATTAGCAGAAACAAAGTATTTAAAGCTTGGCTCTGACGAAGGGCTAACGCTCGAAACGACAGTTTTTAAAACTCTGTACGGTGGCCAATTTGCACTATAAACTCAGATGATAAAACAAATCATCTACTTACAGCTTCACTTGTTTCGGAACTTTCGATAAGTTGTAACAACGCCTCAACAACATCGTCAAACAGCTGGTAAACAACGAAGAATTCTGTGCCTTCAAGAATGTCTAAAAAAACAGTAGAATGAACAGATAGTGGTAAGTTTTCAGCCGAACACGAAAAAAGAAAAAAAAAACTCAGAACACATCACTACTTTGGACTGTAGACTGCACTTTTCATCAGTTTACCGGCGTAAAAACCCAAGCGCGATGTTTGTCGAACTCGATAAAGAGAGTGGCGAAGGGCTCATACATGACGCGTGATTAGGCCCAGAATTTATACGGAAAGCGGGAATTTTACAGAAAGGCGAGGGAAGGTGAGATTTGAAAGTTTCCCTTTTAAATTCGTGACGCCTGAAAGATTTATCTAAAGCGCACGTGACGCATGAATTTTTCTAAAACACGTGTGTGAAACGGGATCAAGACCGCCCCGCCCCTCCTTGCTACCTTCAATAAAGCTTCATAAAGAAACAGGCCAAAAGCAAGTAATTTGCAAGCTGTTTATCGTTCTTCCAGCATCCAAATCCGCCTTAAACCTTAATCACGGTACACTTAAACCTTACATGTGTTGATTACCTTTTGATTTTTGCACTTCAGCAAAGCTTACAATGAACTCCAGTAAGGCTTTGAGAACTCTCTGATTGCCATGAAACTTCACAGCTGAATGGTCGCTCGGACTGGTGCAGTTGTGAAGGAGGTTTATACTGAGCTTTAGCCAGTGTGACACTTGGGAAATATGTCTTGAGGAGGCCTTTCATAAGTAAAAAGATTAAACAAAGAATAAAATCAAATGCATAGAAAAGTTACGAGACAACCTCTCTGACCCACAAAAATAAGACAGTTATTACTCTGAAACTAGTAAATATGATCAAATACCCATGGAAAATGGAAAAGGTTCCCCTTCTTAAGGTTTAAATTCTAATTTTAAAAAAAAAACAAGCCTTTGTTTATGTGCAAATGGTTAAATTAGGCAGCATAATTGAAATTTATAAGTACAGTACAAAAACGCACTCCATTACAACCCCTGTAGAATAGTTACCTGCTGCATCAGCTGTTGGGCTGCAGCTAGTCCTTGACAAACAACTTGAGTGGTGGAAGAACTCCCTTTGATCCAAGGAAGCACTGTATGTTGTAACTGTTGCTGTTTTAAGTAAAGAATAGTAGATATAAGATTGTCACTAGATGATTTGTGGCAATATGTCGGAGAAAAATCATTTTCTTCCCATAACAGTGGATTAACTCATTTGATCCGCTGAGAGTGACACGCATCTAATTTCTCTTCACAATATCACCCTGAATCACACATAAAGGTCAAGAGAATAAAGGTAATGATGAGCAACTTAAGAAGCTCTTGATTGATGAACAAATTCTCCTTGTCAGCACCTAGGAAATGTACAGGAAACAGAATGGAGAATATGCATACTGATGTCAGGGCATAAAGGGGTTAAAGCTAGCCAGGAGAAACCCTGCTTATAACTGAAGAGCTCAGCTTCATGTGACAAGGTGAAATGCTTTTTTTTTTAAATGGTACCTCCTGAGAGAGACGTTTTTTTCCAAGGCTCTGAGAAAACAACATGGAGTAACAAAAAAGTGTAGTCTATTTGGAAATGTATTTAAGATATAGTAGGCGCTATCCAAAAGTGTGAAAATTTTCAAACCTTAGCAAAGGATCTTTTCTGATGGTCTAAGGACAGCAGTCCATCAACAAGATCAGTGTTGGTGTGATCTTTTCCATTGGCACAACAGCCATTCTGTGATTCATCAATGTTCCAAGATGTCTGAGTAAGGACAAGATCAAGAGGTAACTCTACCAAACCAAACAGTACTTCCAACCAGTGAAGTGGAAATTCTCTAAGAAAAAACCCATCAAGATAAGTATGAGGAGAGAATTATAAGTTGAGCAACTTACACAAGGTTACTTCACAGATTAAATACTAAAGAACATACATAATAATACCACTTCTAGTGTGTACCTGGAACATTCTTGACAGGGGCCTAAACCAGCTACCAGCTCAAGCCCTGTAGTTATGAGGCCTTTCTTAAAAAGATCCACACATGACCCAAGAAGGACTTCTGATGCTGTTGTGACTGTATTTTCCATGGTGGTAAGCTTATGCCAATCCACTGGACATGTGCTAAAAACATATGGACATGTTAGGGACAGGACAGAAATTAAGCTTAGACAAGCAAAACAGAACCCACTTTGAACTCCACAAGCCAAACAGAGCAATTGCCAGTTCTTCAATGATGAGGAGTATGATAATACTGATATTTGCTGTTCGGTGGATTTGGTTGGTCAAAAGGAGAATGATGCAGGACAATAAAAATATATTCTAGGAGGTGATGGAAAAGTAAAAATTGTCATAATTTATGCTCTTGGCTACTTCTGGCTGGTTTAGGAGCTCAGAGGCATAATTCAGAGGCATAATTCACTTATTCCCTAGTTAATGGATAGATAAGTGTAAAGGTGGAGTCTGTACTCAAGCCTATTGGCCCACCCAGCCAGAGCTAGGATTATATTTACTCCCCCCTGAATGGGATGTTAGTCTATCGCATAGATACATGCTAGCATATTTCAAAGAGCTAATTAACTCTCCTCCTGGATGAGATGCTAGTCCATTGTATAGATAGATGCAAGCATATTTCAAAGAGGCAATTAACATAACTGTCACATATTTCACCATGATTGTTTACCTGTTTTTTGATATCTCGCATATCATATCAACAAGTTTCTGGCAAACCCCCAAATCTCCCACTTGTAATAAATTCAAACAATCCATAAACAGTTTGCTTTGTTGAAGAACCTTTTGTCCATGGACAGAGTTCTCATATAACAAGATTCTTGTAACTTCAATAGCAGCAACTTCTGAGGTTGCTGAAGGTAAAATGCCTGGAATAAGCATCAGTTTAATCTTGTCGATGACAATTTTAAGTTGATCACTGCAGTCTACGAAGCTGTCTTGTGTGTGAGGCTGTTGGTCTGCTATCCACTCACTCTCCTTGATCATAAACTTTACTAAGAATTTTCTGGCAGAACTTGCCACAAACATGCTTCTGTCAGAAATACAGTCTAATGCATGTATCACAGAACCTAAATAAATCCAACAAACAACTGACAGTTATCATCTGACAGACAATTATTGACAAATAGAAATCCCATACCATAGGTATCTAAATCTCATATCCATCTTATAACTGTCCTTATTTCTCTATTCAAACTCTAAGACTTTGTTCACATTGCAGAATATTTTTATTTTCATTGATTCCCATCATCCTTTACACCCTAAGATCAGTATGCATATTCTCCATACTGTTCTCTTCACATTTCCCAAGCTGCTGACAAGGAGAATTTGTTTAACAATCAAGAACTTCTTTACTTGGTGGTCATTTCCTTTATTGTAGGGAGAAATAAGATGCTACAGCTAGTCACTCTTAGGGATCAAAGGGTTAATTCATTTTTTTTCCTCAAAAAAAAAAAAAAAAAAAAAAAAAAACTCTTACCAGAAAGGTCAGGAGAACTTGATATATTATTAGTAAACCTCAATTTATCCTCTTCCTTAATCTTTGGTTACCAAACATTTATGTACAGCCTGAAAGCAGGTTCTCATATGGCCCTGTAGCAAGAGAGGCAAATCCTCAAGATACAAGCCAGGCAAGAACCCTTAACCCATTATTCTTTGGCCAATTATAGACCCCATCTTATTCACTTTTGGTAATATGGTAACTTTTTAACTACAAATCTTTCCATTTTTAAATTGTCACTAATTAGAATTTTCTCATCCCCCAAATCCTAAAAATGCGCGACCCTATTCTAGTCACTGTATTAAAATTATAATCCCATTATAGTCTGTCCGGCTGTAAAAATGCCACCCCATCCATTATTATATTAGCCTAGCTATCACTTGGATCGAAGTACTCCCCCAGGAGCAAATTCACTGTTTGGGTGTGACGCCTCCTTCCTATCAATTATAATCATATTTTCACCTGAATCTTTAAGCCAGAACATTCCATCTGTGTGCTCTGTGAGAGAAATCAATGCCTGGAAATAGCCATTTCTCACAATTCCCTCATTCCACAAGTGAGGTTCATCCCTGGGCCTCATTAAAAGCCGTGAAACAATGTCTCCGTCTTTGCTACATTTTAGAGAATGAAAGATCTCCGTTCTGGAAACAAGAAATCCCAATAATCTGAGAAAGAATGCTGTTGATTCAGGATTGGTGAAAACATGATCTTTTGACATGAACTCCACCGTTCCACACTGCATGAGATTTTGAAGTTGGTGTTCATTTTGGCACACACATTTTAACCATTCAAGTATTCTTTCCAAGCTTGTGTCATCTATCACTCCATCGGCGTTGTCTACGAGTAAATTAAACAACGAAAGCAACAATTCCGTCCAAGTTTTCCTCCTCTCGATTCCAGCCATTTCGCGCGTGGTCCTTCGAGTAAGGAGACCTCGAATGACAACTGAGAGTCTGTAGGGAGGGGTGAAAAAGCTCATAGTTTTTTAAAATAATCGATGAAAAAAGTTAACCTATGGATTTTTTGAGTTGAGTGTGTTATAACTGATATCTTTTTCAAGTTAAAATCAGAAAAAATTGTGGAGAACTTTTATTTTTCCTTGCATAGTTTGAAAAAATGAAAAAACTATCACGCAACCATACGAACCTTAGCCTACCCCTGAGAGAGGATTGAGCGTAAACTAGAAACAACGGCCAGCAAAATGGCGGAAGGTGTGCTGCCTTTCGTTCGTGGCCTCGATTTGACCAAAAATGACTTCAAGGTATGGACCTCCACGTATTTTATTTTATTCATTAGCCTCCTTAATCCTTACACAACTGTTTCTGTGCCTCTTGTAGAAGCTGGATTTTCCCAAGCGGGTAGCAGACATGCCAAATTTACGGTGGTTGAAATTGAACCAAACTGGATTGGAATGTCTTCCAGACGAGTTATCTCACCTAATGAAGCTGGTAAGAGCATTGATGGGTAATCTTGTTATTCGGTAGAGTCTGGAAAGTTTCAGTTACGTTTTTTTACTTCTTTTCTATAGGCCACCGAAATTGTGCGAATCGCGAACGTTAAAAACACTTTCTGCAGTACGATCATAAAATGTTTGTGCAACTTCAAATTATTAAATTGACAATACTAACAGGATAAAACTTCTAATAGTAATTTAACTTCATCTCACACTTATAACTTGGTATGAGGAACAGAAATTCTGTGTTAAAGTCAAAAGAAATAAGGGATGCACACGCTGAAACTAGTTTGACGTTGACCGGAAATGCAGTTTACAAGCATAAAGTAAACAAACTTTCTCTTAAAAGTGGTCTTGAAATAAAGGGGTTCCCACTGAATCTCAGCATTAATCCCTTTTGCCCTTCGATGCTCAATTGCTATTAGGGTGTGAGATTAGCATTTGACTTCCTATTTCATTATTGAGATGATGCTATATTAAAAGCAATCAGATGATGATAATATGAAAAGAAACCATCAACTTAACTCTATACACCCTAACATCAGTATGAATATTCTCCACACTGTTCTCCATACATTTCCTAAGTTGCTGACAAGGAGAATTTGTTTAACAGACTAGCACTTCTTCAGTTGGTGATCATTTTCTTTGTTCTCATGACCTTAATGTGTGATTCAGGGATGATAGTGTAAGGAGAAATTATATTTTAGTCACTCTTAGGGGTCAAAGGGTTAAGGATGTCAGTTAACTCATAACTGACATGTATCATATGCTTTGGTCGACACTGATAGAATTTGTGCATAAAACAGGATCAGAACCCACCCTTGCTTCTCATTTATATCACATTTTTTCTTTCTTTATTTTAGGAGCATTTATCTCTAAAGGAAAATAATTTGGCAAGTATCCATGGAGACTTGTCAACTCTCTCTCACTTAAGGGTAAGGATTCACTGTTTGACTGAATAAAGAAATCTAAGTTACTTAATTTATAGTAAAAAGTAAGTAAATTAAGTAAAAAAAAAAGTTATAGTAGGAGTAACTTTACTATAGTTTGGGAAGGTGTGTCACATAGTTGACATAAATTGCACTTTCCAGACTTATCACCAACAACTGGTTTATTCTTAAGCCAACCAGTTATGTCTTGATCCTTGGGATACAACCATAAGTATACTGTCTGTGAACAGCTCCAGTTGCCAAATGAGTCAGATTCCAGATCATGTGGTCTAGGTTGAAGCCTTGATTGGGTCATTGTATTGGGGTTCTTGGGCAAGAAACATGACTTCCATAGTGCCCTTCTCGAGCCTAGAGAGGAACGATGGGTGCTGCTCAACCATTATGGAATATTGATAAAATTCTTGGATGTAACCTGCAATGGACTAGCATCACATCCAGATGAAGCATTGGTACTTCCACATGCTTTTTGCCAATGAAGGTGTTTCAGGCAAAACATCAGCTTAGATCTGCATGAATAGAACCAAAAGTAATTGTTTAACAATACTTGGGCCACCCTTAACAAAATCCAGTAGTATACGTTCCTGTAAAGAACCCCCTCTAGCAGTGGACTCTTTGTTCTACTTGAGCTTATGGAACCTTCATCATGGGTACTGCCATTTTTTGACAGGTAATTAATGCACGTAAAAACCAGCTCAAGAATTCTGGAATTCCTGGAGATATCTTTGGCCTTGATGATCTTCTTACCATTGTAAGTCGAGGTTATTAGATTGTATGATTAAATAATGAGTTTTGCCTTTCATATGGACATAAGAAAGTATTTTCAGAAATGGGTGTTCAGTGTATTTGAAAACTCTTTTGTAAACAGAATTAATGATGTTGCTAAGTTTCTGTTCTTTTTTGTTTTTTAAAGTAGAGTTATGTACTATCCCTTGTTTTAAAATTTCTTGAATGACTGGTTGTGATTAAAATTGGAACTCTGCAGCGCCAGGTTGTTCAAAGCTTGGTTAAGATAACCCAGGGTTAGTTTAAAATCAGATTTAAGATCTGAAAGCTTTAAAAGAAAATTTGGTACCATTCCTTTTGTCTACAATTTGATGTTTGGATACCAATCAGAGAATAGTGAAAATGTTCTGAAAAAAGCTTTTGAACAAAGGAATAAAGAAAAATGGATTAGAATTTAACCCCAGGTTAGTGCTAATCAGCCTTCGAACAAGTGGGCCCTGGTTACAAAGTACCATTATGATTACCCTAGATGTCTCTTTAAAAATTTCTAATATTTAACTGTATGTTTTCTTGTCCTTTTATACAGGATTTTAGTCATAACCAGCTCAAAGAGGTTGGTGATTAATTTTTTTTGGTTCAGAACAAAAACACTACCCATTAAGACAAGTTTAAAAGTTTTCAGATATACTTTTGAGAGCATAGTATGAATTTCTTTGAAATGTCAGTCACCGCAGTGAATGATATCTCTCTCATGAATTAGACCTCTTTCTATTTAGATTGAAAGATCAATGCCATATGTTATAAGTAACATATTGTGGCATATCATACTTCCCAATAACCCTACCCTAAGTAGTAAAAAATTCTACACTAAAAACTGTGTTAGAAAAAAATAAAAAGAATCCTTAGTTGCTGTGAAAGCCAAAGGCTGCAAAAGTGTTATTTGTTATACTGTTCTTTCTTATAGTAAGTTAGAGTAATTGTAACAGGAAGTACTAACTAAAAAGGGATTGCAGTATTAAGACATTTGAAGTTGATAAAAAGTTGTTGACAACTATTTTGTATCCTGACTAGGTACCACCTGAGCTGGAAAATGCTAAAGCACTGATAGTTCTCTCTTTAAGTCACAACAAGTAAGTAATTGGAATGACAAATTTGCCTTGTGTCTTTCTGTTTCTTAAAAATGATGAGAATTTAAAATTGTACTTTTTTACTTTCACAGAATTTCCACTCTTTCCAATCAGCTGTTTATCAACTTAACAGATCTAATCTACCTGGATCTTGGCAATAATCTCATTGGTATGTCTCTTGGCAGTCTGATATTTGAAACAGACTTCTTTACCCTTTGACCCTTGAGGGTGACTAATATCTAATTTCTCCCTACAATATCATCCTCAAATGACACAATAAGGTCACAAGAATAAAGGATACAATCACCACTGAAAGAATCTGTTGATTGTTACACAAATTCTCCTTGTCAGCTCTCTAGGAAATGTATAGAGAACAGTATGGAGAACTTGCATACTGATGTTAGGGTGTAAAGTGTTAATGAGATAGCAGTTCACTTTAAGATGTGACACCTTTCTTTGCTGGCGCACATACAAACAAAGATGGTGCCATGCAAATCAGGTCAAAGGCAATCAGCATCAATGAGTATTCTTTTGTGATCTAGGCATTGTTATATTAACTAGTATGTTGTAAGTTATGCATTGTAATTTAAGCACCACAAGTAATGTGTGCACGGCAAGAAAATGGTATCAGGTTTAACAATCATGTCATTGTCTTCCAGAGTCAATTCCTCCTCAACTTAGAAGACTTGTAAACTTGCAAACCTTGGTAAGTTCTTAGTAAAATGTTGATTACATTGATCCTTTATCTCAAGCCATGTTATGAAGAGTTCATTTTTGCATAACTCATCTATAATATATAATTGCCAAATTATCTTTCTCAATAGATCCTGAATAATAATCCACTTCTTCATGCACAACTGAGGTGAGTTTGAAACTGGGTTACTTTGATTCTCAACTTCTTTATTAGTACAATGTCATATTAATGTGTCAGGCAATCAAAATATACATGTATTATTTCCATAACTGTCATTTTAACTTGCTATCTATCAAACAGACAACTTCCTTCTTTAACCCAGCTCCATACTCTACACTTGAGGAACACGCAGGTAATAAATATGAAGTTAACATTCTAAAATTGTTTTCCTGTGGACCATTGCACAAATCAATTTAGAGTTGTGAGGTTTGATGATGTGTCATGACCTCTTTTGTTATTGATCAGTGCAAATTTGGCCTGTTGGAATCAAATAAGTGTGTTCAAGGCTACCTGAGCTCCACATAAAATTAAATTATTTTGTTGGTCACCCCAGCCTTCTTTTGTCTTTACCTACAAAAAAGTGGCATTATCTCCTACCCTTTGGAACACCATTCCATTCCAAGATATTGTTTCTGGATAGCTGATTATGAACATTGTTAAATTATGGGCTAGGTTACTGTAAACGTAGCAGATGATGATTATGTGCTTCTTTTTGATAACATGTTGTTAGTGATAACTTATGGATCTGCTTATTTTCTGATGCTACATTACACTGAATTACATTTAATTTAATGGTGCTATGCATTGGTCAGCTTATAATGGAAATCTTACTGCCATTACAGAGAACAATAACAAACATGCCAAACAAATTGGAGGGCCTTGTCAATTTAACAGGTACTGAGCAGTGAAACACTGAAAAAAATTGCTCTTTGTTGTCATGATTTGCTGCACTTTAAACATCTGAGGTTGATGCTATATTTAATTTTGGCTTTATTTGCAAGGAGGTTAAAGTAAGTTTAGTGTTGAGATCTCAAAATAAACTCCTCACTCTTCTTATTTCAGATCTGGATCTATCATTTAATGATCTACCAAGAGGTGAGAAACTGATTGAATTAATGCAAACTCATTGCTCAGGAACATGTTTGAGGATTGATTACTATTAATAATTAGATGATGTTACATTTTTCTTTTACACAGAATATTCCCTCAATTATAAATGCAAGAGGCAGTGCTGTTCACTTGACAGTCTTCTTAACATGTAGCAATTTCTTTGACAATATCACAATATGCATGTTTTAAATCTTATTGAGCTGTTTGTCACTTTTGCAGTTCCTGAGCCAGTGTACCTGATTGCCAGCCTGAAAAGAGTAAATTTGTCACACAACCAGATCACTGAAGTGTCTACACTCATGGGTAAAAATATATTTTTGTGTGAAAGAGGTTCAGAACAGACTTTCAAGTGATTCGCACCACTGTATTGTTTAGTTCTTGTTCACCCATGTGGTATTGTCTTACAGATACATGGACACAAGTAGAGACATTGAACTTATCAAGGAATCAACTTACAGGAATTCCAGTAAGAACCATCCACTCTTAAATAAGCTCCCACCTCAAATACAGTATTGTGCAAAAGCGATGCAAGCACCTGTTGACAAAATTCAATGAAATTCCTTGCTTTTCTACAAATTTGTAACCAAAATGAAATTTCAAAAGCTCAAACTCTCAAGGTCCAAAAATCTATTGAGCACCAAGGGCATTTGATCCAATAGATAATTTAAGGTAAATTAAAGTTATTTGGAATCTTTCTCCATACTGCCAATGATCAGAGAAATTTCTATATAAAACACAAAAAATGCTAATAAGCACTTTCTGTATGTACATATGTAATATTATATACTTTTTGGATTTTCCATCAATTGAAAGTAATTCTTTTGCTCTGTTTCTTTCAGGCTGCACTTTGCAAACTGGTGGCCCTCAAGAGATTTTTTATCAATGGTAAGCATCATCAGCAATAGTACTTACTGCAAATCAAAGAAGGTTTTATGATAATGATGAAGGTTAGCTTTGTAGACAAATTATATATTAAGGAAATTTGACATCTTTATATCTTTGGTTTTTGTTGTTGGTTAGTTTATAAGCTGATCAAAATGTGTCATAAAAACTCAGGTGTTGCTTTTTGTAATAGGAAACAATATCAACTTTGAAGGACTGCCTACTGGAATAGGAAAGCTGTACAACCTGGTAATTTTAGCTGAAGGTGCCTTCCAGAGGTCTGGACTCATGGCACCTGATTTCAGTCAATCTCATAATGAATAAGACTTGCGATTAGTTTATCCTTAATGGTTAAAAAAAATTCCACCACAATGTTAGATACTGATTGCTATGCTTTGTAATGTTCAAACTAAAGTAAAAGACTTGGATGAAGCAAAAAAAGGCAAGGAGCAGTCAATAAGATGAGGTGCTCTGGTTTTGTAGCCTCTTACATTGGAGAGACTGACAAGATCTTAAACATAAGACTGACTATACATAATTGAAAAATCTTGTACTGAATGTCATTTACTTGCAAACTACTGATCTGGTGTGGCAGTTCTGAGAAACAACAAAATCATCTCTGGGAATCTTATACCTAACATCTTACTAGTAGTTAGGACTGGTAATAAGTCACATAAATCATTTCTTTAATGTGATTTCTGCAATATTTTTTACCCATATCATTTATGTTTGTTTTTACAGGAAGTTTTCATGGCAGCATGCAATAAATTGGAGTGCATCCCAGAAGGGCTGTGTAGGTATGTCATGATGAGAGAAGAACCTCTGATTAAGAACAATTTGTGTCCAGTGGATAATTAAGCATTTTGATATTCAATAATTTTGTTTTAACCGAGTTGATAATATAAATTGGCCACTGTAAAGAGTTTCTAAAGATGAGTCAGACATTTTGAGCTGACCTTTCAAATGATGGGGCTAACCCTTGGTCAAAATGTCAGCTTTAGAAACTCTTTATGGTGGCCAATTTATATCATCAACTCAGTTAATAAAGCCAAATTATCTTTTAATACCCCCCTCCCCCTCCCTCCTTCCCCCCCCCCAATGCAGTACAGTCGAACCTCAATTATCCGGACATCAATTATCTGGACTTTTCAATTATCCGGACTTTTTCTCTGGTCCCGTTTTTTTCATGAATATTAATGACCTTAGATGTTAAAAACCTTAGGAGGTAAAAAAATTCAGAAATTATGTTAAAAGTCAGGAAAATTGTGTTTAAAACAGCGCATTACACGCTCCGCTTTCGAAAGATCGAGCGCTCGGAGACAAAAAGAGACAAGAAGCATGCGTTCAGCTGAATTTTGATTGGTTCAGCATTGTTTTGTTGCAAAGGGAATGTCATGCTTGATCAGTTCGATGAGCACGGGCTATGTAAACACACGAGACAATCATAACTCAATTGTCTCATTAATATTCATATTTTTGATTATCCGGACTCTCGATTATCCGGACTATTTACTCTAGTCCCACCAAGTCTGGATAATCGAGTACCACTGACAGTTTCTTTAGAAACATACCCTCTTTATTTATTATGATATTACTTTAACAGGTGCCTGAAGTTGCGCAAGCTGATTCTTCACACAAATTGTTTGTTTACTCTGCCAGAGGGAATACATTTTCTGACAAATTTAGAGGTAAGCTAGCATTCTGTTAGTACTTTTATCATTTCCATCATCACCAATCACCAATCACCAATCACCATCACCAATCACCATCACCAATCACCATCACCAATCACCATCCCCATGTGACATTTTTTCTTTGTATTCATTGCTAACTGCATTGTACATGCATACAGAAGTAGGAATCTCCCACAGCTCAAATTGTCACTGTGACGGAGGCTGATAACACTTTATGTATTAATTAGTAAGAAGTGTCATTCTGACTAATATATTAAAGAACACAACCAGAACTTTTAGTGTAGAAGTATTCTCAATGGGCCATGATCTGTCTCATTCTCTCCACCGGTAGCTATGATAGCCTGACTGTCACAATTTGACCTTCATTGCAAACTCAACAAAACCATACCATGTGCAACATGCTAACATTGAAATTAACACGCTTAATGGAAAGGGTTTGTTGAATTGACTGACAATTAATAATAGAAACAACGGTAAAAGGTTAGAAATGGAAGAGGCAAGGATGACAACTCCCTTACCTACCCCCTAGGCCTCAGCAGTGTTTAACTGTTTAATTCCCAGTAGTGTTCAACATGTAACTTCTCCCTATAATATCTATACATTATCCTGTAAACAGGTAATGAGAATACTCACACTTATCAGGCAGAAGTTATTACCTTGATCTAACACTTATTTCATGCAAGCTAGTTAGTAATAAATAACTTGTTTTAGCCAGTTTGAATGTCTGACATTCTGTCTTTCCTTTTTCGGAAAATCTCAGATAGAGTAAAAAATGATCAATGAAACTCACAAATTTTAAGGTTTTTTAGTTTTAAAGATCTAATTTTGATCAATTTTCTTTGTTTTCTGTAAGGAACTTGATGTCCGAAACAATCCAGAACTGGAGATGCCTCCAAAGCCTGTCCCTGATGAACTAGGGAGTGGACCAGAGTTCTATAATGTAGACTTTACCTTACAGACCCAGCTAAGAATGGCCACAGGGGCCCCACCACCACCACAACGTAAGTATAGCAATCCACCCAAGATATGGCATTGTTCATCATGAAGTTCTCTGTAGCTTAGTTTGTTGAGAGTATATGGCAAGAATAAGTGTCTTGACTGTGAATATATGAAAATCATGTGAATTACATGAACTACAAAATAAGAAAAAAAAAATGTGTTTCTTATTCTGCAGTTCACATATTTATATGATTTTCCAATATTCACAGGCATTTATTCATCACTTCATGGGTTTATTTGTAACCAACATTAATTTAAATAATGACCAGCTCCCAGATGGCTTGTCAGCACAGTTTGTAGAGCACTGCACAGGTATCACAGAGGTCATGGGTTCAAATCTGTTACATGCCTGAATCTTTTGCAAGCCTTAATTTCACTACTGCTTAAGTAGTGTTCATTATTGCAAAGATCACTTTCTTATCAACAAGTGCCCTGTGGGAACAAGGAAAATTTTGAAGGCAGTTTTGTAACTTGCATTAATAACTGCTACAGTGGACTTCAAATCTGATGGTTGTATTATGATGTTAATGTAAGAAGTCATTTACATGTTAACAATATTTATTTAATAATTATCCCATGAACATTTTATTTAACTCATTAAATCAATTCACCCATATTTTATCTTATAATCTAAACAAATTTTTAAGAAGAACTTTGTAGTGGTCTCACAGAATATTATGTTAACCTTTCAGCCAACAAAGATTCTTATGCAAGAAAGGTGAGTAACATTCACATTTTCAGTCAAGAAAATTGGTTTAATTAGGAATTGAGTATTAGTTTAATTTTTAAATGGCTGCACTATGAACTATTGACCTAATCTTAGGGAAAAAAGTTTTTCCAGTAACAAAGCACAATCAAGCCAAAAAGTTGAGAAAACTCTTTCTTTATATTATTTTAATTTTTAAATGGAAATATCTACAACAGACTAGAATCTCATCTTGCCAAGGGAACGATACTCATAATTGCTTCATGCAGCAAAATGGAGAATAAGCTGCTTTTGGCTGTAATTCAATGGGTCATTATGCTGGGTCAGTATTTTAATGGTTCTCTATGCTCATAATTCTGAATTGCCTAACCCTGGGAATACCATGGATTTAAAAGAATTGCTTGGCAAACTTGATGTAGGTCATTTTTGGTGAAGAAAAATTGGCTGTGTTTTCATTCTCTTTGTCCAAAATGCATCAAATGGTCAAATTGGTAAATCAAAGGTAATCTCTATGCAGTCTGCACTGTAAGTTGAAAATGATAAATCTTTGCCGTGATTTATGATTTCCAGATGCGAATGAGGGGAAGGCGATATCAAAGCCAGTCAGAGGAACTCAAGGTAACAGATGATACAGTAGAGAAAAAGTTTATCATCCTATGAGGTAATTGAAATGACATCCTAGGTACCTTTTTGATTCTGTTATTTTCTCCATTGTAGGGTATGGTAGAGGATGCTGAGGAGAAAAAAGTCTCAGGAAAAAACAAGAGATTGGGTAAAAAGGTAGGTCACTGGTAAAACTTTGTCTGAGTGTTCTTTTTTTTTTTTCATCATAACTTGTGAAGCAGGTATAAATTTGTAAGTTACAAACCAGAGATATAAGTGGAGTGAATGGTAAAATTTCAGTCACTGACACTGACTCCTTACTGGAGTCTATTTGAGTTGAAGTCTTCTGGAGGATACAGCACTTTGAAAGTGAAGTTGGAATCTTGACTAGATAACAAAATTCTTGTGGTTAACACCCCACACACTGCTAGGATTTAAGAGGCATTTCATTCATAATTTTTGCGAGTAGATTTCGACCTGTACAACGAGAATAAAGGAAATGATCACCAACTTAAGAAGCTCTTGATTGTTAACAAAATTCTCCTTGACTACACCTTAGGAAATGTTTAGAGAACAGTATGGAGAATATGCATACTGATGTTAGGGTGTAACAGGTTTATAATGCTTAGCAATGGGAAATACTACCATAGGAGTGATGATACTCACTGATTCTTTGAATTTTCTTTTTTCTTCTCAGCAAGACTCAGATGAGCCTGAGAAACTTTTGAAGTAAGTTTATCCCACATCCTTGAAAACTGAACACACTTGTTCATTCAAACCTTCTTTGGATTTAGGGCAGGGGAGCTTAAGATATTATTGAGAATTATTATTTACCAAATGAATTTAATTGTTACCAGAATAGTGAGGCATAATGTCTGTTCTTATTTGACTTCTCATTAAATTTTAATAGGGGTAGGAAGTGGAATGAGGCATTAGTGAAACCTAATCTGAATTATAATGATTTCTTTAATGAAGACACTGGCCAAGAACCTGGTGAGATCATCAAAATAAATGACAGTCTTCAATATTGCATTTTACTTGCATTAATTTTAAAATGAAATGAAATAAGACTTATTTTAAAGCATTTACTACATGTAGTCACCCAAAACTAAGGTAGTGGATTTGTGTGTTGTATAATACTAACAATGTATTGTTAAAGTACATTAAATTTTTTACTGACTCTTGTCAATATATTTTTCTTTCATTCTACTTAAATACAAATAAAAATTACATTTTGTACCTAAAGGAGACCAAAAATTATTGCTTTCATTTTTGCAGGTCTGGTAGTATGGCAAATTGAAAATTTCCTGCCAGTTTCAGTTGATGAATGTAAGAGAGTTATTTGAAATCATTTCAACTTGAATACTAATTTGAAATGCCAAGAAGGAAGTAAAGAGAATGATTTTTTAATTCTTATTCTTTCTCTTGATAGTGTTTTATGGAAAGTTTTATGAAGCTGACTGCTACATTGTTCTCAAGGTGACTTTTCTTTAAAGTAATTTTGGTCTTAGTCTTGGTTTCAAAGGGTTGTCTTTAGTTACACATACACTTCTTCTCTGCTTGTCCAGTGGTAACTGATACTTTTTACACATTCAGACTAGTTTTGATGACACAGACCAGTTGTTTTGGCAAATATTTTACTGGATTGGAAAAGAAGCCTCAGTAAGTGTGCCAACCATTTATTAAGTACAAAATAAATAATTTATAAATCATCACTGATTATGAATACTATTGAGAAAGTTATTAATTGTTTATTATCCACTCATGAATGTTGTTGAGCACCAGATTTCTTTGAGGAAGGTCAGGGGTTCATGCACCAGACTGGACTAACACTCAGGGTCTTAAAATAACTGAAGCAAATGAGCTGCCTTTGCTTTGACATCCACAAACAGTTAGACATTCTTGTCTTCTTGCATAAAAGCAATAATTTATTGGTCCCATCTCCTGCATCTTCTTTGTACTGGTTAGCAGGTGATGCTAAAGAACCCACACACTTCTCGCAAAGAGTGCAGAAATGCAGCTCCTGGTGTTGTGGACATGCCTTGTTATTGTCTAGAGAAGCACCCATTTAAACCAGCTTTAAAGCTTAACTTAGTCAGACTGTCCTTAATATTGCAAATAAATAAATAACTATGACGGTGGAAAATCATCTCTGGAAGAAATCTCCATTCGAAGCTACCATACTTTGATCTTGAGTTAGGTAAGCCTCATGACTATGAATTTATTGTTTTGTTATTTAGCTTGACAAGAAGGCTTGCTCAGCTATCCATGCTGTAAATCTAAGAAATTTCCTTGGTGCTGAGACACGGACTGTGGTTAGTTCTTCGTTGTTTACTTTTGCTTCTGTACTTCTGTTAGTTCATTTGACAAGTGTTGAATTGATAGGTCACAAGATCACATGTCAGTCAAATATGAAAATTAAAAATAAAAGCAAAGGTTGGCAATAGTGTAGGACTCCTAAGTAATGGTATCTTTTGTCTCTAAAGCGTGAGGAACAGGGAGATGAGTCAGAGGAATTCTGTGAACTGTTCGAAAATGGCCTCAATTATGTTGAGGGTAAGGAATAACATTTTAGCAGTATGTGACTGTTTGTTAAATTGAGCAACTTGCTTTCTTTCAATATTAGCCAGGCACATAATGACTTAATTTAGCACTGACAGCAGTTAACCCTTAAACTCTCAGAAGTGCTTAACGCATAACTTCTCCTTACAATATCATTAAGTTGTCCAGCTAACAGGTATTGAGAATACTTAAACTTATCAGGTAGAAGTTGTTATCTTGATCTAACACAAAATTCCCATAACTAATTTATAAGGAAATATGTAGCAGTTAGAGAGAATAATTAATATTAAGATCCTGGGAATGAAACATTTAATAACATTATTTAATATGTTGTATAACTACAGGTGGTACAGCTAGTGGATTTTACACAGTTGAAGATCCAGTAAGTATGTACAAATGAGCTTTCTCGTGGTGTAACAAGGCTACCTCAAACTTTACCCAAGCTTTGAAAAATTTTAGCTTTATATGTTCATGATCTAGTGATCCTTTGCAGTGATTTGTTTGTGAAGATTGTTTCAATCTTTTGTTAGATCTACCCTACAAGGCTTTTCAGGATTCTCAATCAATCCAAAGTACAACTTGAGCCAGTAAGTTCTTTAATTTTTAACAGTGTCCATCCTTCTTCTTTCTTGCAAAGTGCATTTTGGTTTTATCAGTTCACATTCTATCATTTGCACACTCCAAGAATACTCTTTTGGAATACATGTATTTATAGATAAATATACAAACCTTTTTTTTTTCTTCTTTTGCTTGGCAGGTGGAAGTGAGCACTTCATCTCTGGATCCAACTTTCTCATTTGTATTAGATGCTGGACTTAAGATGTTTATTTGGTCTGGAGCAAGGGTGAGTGTCTGATTGCTTTTGATCTTTAAGTTGTATGCATCACAGCCTTGAATGATTATTTGCAAAATCCCTTGGAGATACTGTTGTGTTCCCATTTTTGAAGGTGACTTGCCAGACTTAAGAACAGTTCTCTTTTACTTAATATATGAAAGCCGCTTAACAAAAAGAGTTCATCTTCTGTTTTATCTTCTAGGCAAAAGGAACAATGAAAACAAAAGGAAGGTAATTAAAAGTGATGGGATAATCTTTGGATATTTTATAATTTGTGTAGCTCATATTAGCGGCAAATACAGAGTTAACTGATGGATGTTGTGTCTCTCAACTTGGTCTCATAACAGGTTGTTTGCAGAAAAGCTGAACAAAAATGATCGAAAAAACAAAGCAGAAATTATAATGTGTGAAACGGTAGGAGCAAAGTGTTAATTGGTATTTTTAGCATGTCTGTGTCAGAAATATGTTGAGCTTTCTCAAAATATGTTAAGAGCACTCACCTGATAATTTCAGTTTTGGGTAGACACCAGCCATTTTTTTGGGGATGTTAAATCTCTTTTACCTAATGATGCCATTCTTTTCTCTGGAGCATAATTAAGTAAGCCTTATATTGGGTGAAAGAGCCAAAGGTATACTGGGATAGGTTAGCATCCTGTCAATTCCTCAAGTTTGTCCCAAATATCACATTTTAATTACATCTGCTCTGTTTTCTGGCCACTCTTGTAGAGTTCTCCTTTGATAATATTTATAAGGAAGTCTTAACCCTCTAACTCCAATGAGTGACCAAGACAAAATTTCTCCTTACAATATCAGTACAATATCAAGCAGACAAGTGATGAGAATAAAGAAAAATATCAGCTAGGGGATTAAGTTGATCAAATACCAAATTCTCCAAACTAACATGACAAGAACTGTATGGCAGACAGTAAGGAGAATTACTAATGAGATCTTGGGAGTTAAGGGTTTAGAGAAAAAAACCAGGTGGCAAAGATGACCCCTTTAACCCCTCAGAGTGATCAGCAACTAATTTCTCCCCATAGTAATACTGCTAAGTAATTTACGTAAGTAGGTAAGATCATGAGAATAAAAGAAATGATTGCCAACCTAAGAAGCTATGATTGATGTACAAATTCTCCTTGTCAGTACCAAAGGAAATGTAATAAGAAGAACATAGAGAATATGGATACTGATGTTTGGGTGTAAAGGGGTAAAAGATTATTTCAGATCAATAGTGGCATTTTATTGATTTGTGTAATTAAGGAAACTGGCCCTTCAGAAAGGAATAGCCTATGAAAAAGCAGGCCACTAGTGCTTCTGGAGAACACTGCTCTTGAGCAACATTGCATCTAGAATACCTAAAAATGATTTTTATTTCCACTTGTAAAATATTCACTAAATTCAAGCTTTACATTAATCATTAATGCACTAAGGACTAGTCAGTTCTCATTGGTTCTATCACATGGGAAACATTTTGTACCAACTGAGATATTGTACATCATGTATCATGTTATCCTATCATTTCACATTTTAGGGAGACGAACCTGCTGAATTTTGGAGAATTCTTGGTGGTCGTCCAACAGATGAAATTATGGTGAGTGACACATTAAGTGTCTGTCTCAATAATAACAGTTTTAATATTATAATTATGACTAATAATAGTTGTTCAACAAATGAAACAGTCAGGATTTAGTTTTTAGATATTAGCTTCAAGGGATGGACAAACAATCTAAGCAACCTGTACAAAGGAATTTTTTTTTTAACATTTGAAAGTTATTATTTGAACTTTCAATTTTTTTAAAATTATCTGTTCTAGACAATTAATAACTGTTAAAAGAGGGGTGTTGATTTCATTTGAACCGTCCAAAATGCATTCTTAATTCATAATAATGAAGATAACCTAATGCCGGGATCATTTTCCCTCCGTTTTTTTTAATTGTGGAAGAAATATTCATAGTTACTTAATAAAAACCATTGTCCACTTGCCCCCTGCAATTTTATATTGATTATTTTTTGTAGGAAAAACCAGAGTACAATGAACCACCTCCTGTGCCTATTCTGTACCAAGTAGCTCTAGGACTAGGTTACTTGGAGCTTCCACAAGGTATTTTCATGATATCGTGATTTTTATCCTATTGGAACTTTTTGACAAAACAGTCAGTTAAAGCATACCTGTATACACCACCTGCACATGGTAACCCTTTACATCCTAACATTGGCATCCATATTCTCCACACTGTTCTCTTTACTTTTCCTATAGTACTGAGAGGAAGAAATTGATTGACAATCAGGAGCTTCTTAAATTGGTGATCATTTCCTGCATTCTCATGACCTTAAGAGGGTTAAGGGTTGAACAGCGCCAACTCATTATTATTGATATCTAATGTGTGTATTTAGGGCACCACAGGCATCAATTTTTTTGTCTATTTTTATCTTACATATCAGTGGATACTAATGGAGGGAAATTGAGCACAAAAATGCTAGAAAATAAGCATGTCTATATTTTGGATTGTCATTCTGAGATTTTTGTTTGGTAAGTAATAGTGTCTATATCTTGGCCTTAATGTACCAGAATCCTTGTTTTAAAGTTTATTCTTTAAATTGTTAATACTTGATAGAAAAAAATATATTTTGCAATTATTTAATATATTTTACAATTTTTATCCTTGGTTTCAACAGTTTTCCTTTTTTTAATGTACCAAAGATCATTTTTATAATGCATCTGATATAGTAAAATTTAACCTCAAAGTGCAAGAAATGGATATATACATGTAGAACTGATTATGGTTCTTTTCTCCAGGATTGGTCGCAAATCAGCTCGTCTTGTACGTGCTGCAGCAATGAAGCTCTCTCAGGAGCTTTATGCTATGATTGACCGTCCACAATTCACTGTTCAGATACGTAACCTCCAGGGGTAAGTAGTGGCTGGGCAGCTTGATATCAGATCTGAATTCATGTCCAATAAAACTCCAACTTGTAGTATTTTTCTTCATCTTGCCATGTCTCTGGATGATAGATGTTTCACCCTTTAGTTTTTATACTTGAATTGGGCAATATACCTGTACATTATTTTGGGTTGTCATGTCATTTGGTCTTCTTTGTTTTGGTTCAAGTTAAAACTCCTTGAATTCTGAAGATACAATCAAGGCAAAGTGGGTAAATAATTGTTGTAGATACAGGCAGGGTTTCTATGGGTCCTGCAAAACCTGGAAGGGCCTGGAATTTTATTTTCATTGACATTTTCCAGGACTGGAAAGTCCTGGAAATCTGCTTAACTCAACAAATAGTTTTCAGAATTTACATTATAAGAAATGTATACATACCATAAGAATAATTGAGTTTGAAATCTTGGGAATGAAAGGGATTTAGGTGAAATTTGGAGTTCTTGAAAAATAAATCTGAGTCCTGGAAAAGTTTTGGAAAAGTCCTTGAAATTTGTTTCTGAAAATGGATATGAACCCTGTACAGGTTGGTCAATAGATGTAATGTCACTTTGAAATAAGGTGTATACTGTCTTATGTGATATCACCTTCTTCCAAAGATAACTAGTAATTTTTGTTTTTAATTCTAGGGCTGAATCCCAAATGTTTAAAGCTCGATTTATTGGCTGGGATGATGTGCTTGCGGTGGATTACACTCTCAGTGCTGATTATGTTGCAAAGGCCTCAAAACAGCTCGGAGTCACTGTAAGTCATTTAGTATAAGTATCATGGAAATTTTGCTGTTTTGTAACAATAAATAAAAACTCAAAAACCATTTTGAATTAAACTTTATTGCCATAAACTTGGAATAATGGTATGTAAGGTAAGCTTGAGTATTGACAAAATAATTATTTTTAAGGGTGCCCTAATGTCTGAGAAAACAAAATGTCTTCTTGTTCTCAATCATGTACTAAGTTATGTTGAGAAATGTCTCAAATTTATGAATCTGCTAGTTACTTCCAAACAAAATGCTTGGTGATGGATGCATCAAAGCACAGATAAACAAAGTTCTGTGAATGCTTTTTTTTTTTTTTTTTTCATAATTGGAATGCTATTAATACTGATGACAAATAATAGTGAAAGTTTATTTAATCTTCTTTGGCCAGAACATAACCACAAAGGAAGCACAGGCTAAGCTCCAGAAGGTTGCAAAGGTAATGTTGATGGAAGCATGATTATAAATTTAGTTGTCATTACTAATGTTGCTGGATACATTACCTTGCTGTTGAAGAAGCATTCACTCATCTGCGTCTCAATCAAATTGAAATTCACAATCTCTTAGCAGGGTTGTTGCTAGGTGCCCCATGTGAGCAAAATTAGTTCAGATGAAAAAGCCATAATTGCTGGTAAAGTAATTGCTTGGCAAAGTAAGACAGCACTTCTGAAGTTATGCACTTACTATTGTTTCATTTCATACATTATGTTTGAGTGGCCTCATGTGAAATTTCAGCCAACAGCTGAATTTCAAAGTTACAATCCTGCCCTGGGGTGAACATCATGCTGTTTGCACTGCAACAGCACTCTCACTCAGCACAGTTTGCACCAGTTGTAGGGCTTCTCTTTATTAAGCATCATGGTGGAACTGAAATTATATCATGTGCATGTTTGAAGATTTACTTTACCTGTAACTCTGTGGTGTGATTGATGGTAATCAGCTCATCAGCTTCAGCTGCTTAACTTTGTTTACTTTCATCCACCAGGTTGATCTATCTGCTTTGTTCACTACTCGGCAACAGCCCATCCCTAATAATGAGCAGGTAATCAATTTTTTGACCTGATTTATCTGACAGGGGATTGCTTATTGATGGCATAAGCCCTTATTATTAATAGCTTTTATTCAAAACTGTTCTGTGTCCTTGAAGGAACAATATGTGGAGGAATGGAATGAAGATCTAGATGGTATGGAGTGCTTTGTTCTGGAGGGGAGAAAATTTGTCCGTCTCCCTGAAGAGGAAATTGGTGAGTCTCTTTGTTGTTTTAACCCTTTAACTCCCACAAGTGATTAACATGTAACTTCTCCCTATAATATCCATACATTATCCAGCCACCAAGTAATGAGAACACTCAAACTTATCAGGAAGAAGTTATCTTAATCTAAAAAAAAATTCTCATAACTTATTTACAAGGAATTGTGTGTTAGTTAGAGGGGAGAATTAACAATCAGATCTTGGGAGTTAAAGGGTTAAGGAAAGACCAGAAATAATGTTAAGTACATCCTATCACCTGGTTTTGTACAAATGGATAACCTTGCATTGCTGTGTTCAAGTTTGTCTCTATCTACTGAGGAACAAGAATTTAGCAAAAGAAATTCATTTAGTTTGCTCTGATGCTGCATTTACAATGTTTTGGTTTTGATGTTATTATTCTGTCAGGACATTTTCATACTGGAGACTGTTATGTGTTCTTGTGTCGTTACTGGGTGCCAGTTGAACAACCTGAGGGAGAGGAAGATGATGATGAACCAGTGGAACAAGAAGAAGACTTTCAATGTGTTGTGTACTTCTGGCAGGTTATTACTGATTATGTATTCTATTTAATGTTAATATTTAATGTTGCCATGATTCCAAATGACATCAAAATATGGAGAGGACAAAAAAAAATGGTACACTGCTTAAGATTCAGCCATAATATGTAAGTTAATATCATGAGGTTTAATTTACAATGATCTTAAAAGCTTTACTTGGTAGAACATTTTCCCTCATTCACTATTCAGTTGCCTGTTTGTTTTCATTTTGATTTTACAGGGAAGAGATGCAAACCAGATGGGTTGGCTGACATTTACATTCAGGTAATGCTTCCTAAAGGAGTATGTTAATGATTTGTTTACTTATTGGTACATCAGTTTACCAAATTTTGATTTCCTTTTTAAATCTGAATCAGGAGTGTTCACTTGAATGTGACATCTGAGCAATCAGCAGAGTTTGTTGTATTTGATGCCTGAGCAGTTAAATTCATAGAATGTAACTTGACACCAATCTAACAGTGATTAATTTTTCTTTTCCAGTCTTCAGAAGAAATTTGAGTTGTTATTTGGTGAAAAACTAGAGGTTGTGAAGACACAGCAGGTACGACGTATTCTGAATCAAAAAGTTAAGCAGTGTAGATCAGATCTTTAATTTTATGATGACTGACCAACCAAGTGAATGCTCAACAGTCTTCAATATCTGTGCTTTTGTGTATTTTTCAGCAACAAGAGGCCCCAAGATTTCTAGCTCATTTCAAAGGAAAGTTCATCATTCACAAGGTAAAAGTATAATTTATGCCCCAAGTGGGGAAAGGATTCCATCCATTGATTATTTTTTATTGAAACTGGGAATAAAGTGTTTAAGTTAAGTGGTCTCAACCCTTTACATCCTAGCATCATTATGCATATTCTCCATACTGTTCTCTATACAATTGCTAAAGTGCTGACAAGGAGAATTTGCTTAACAGTCAAGATCTTCTCTGTCATGTCCTCTATTCTTGTGACCTTAATTTGTAATGCAGTTAATGCTTCACTTGATCTATCAATAGGGAAAACGCAAGGAGCCAGTCAAACCAGAAGAAAAGAATAAACCTCAGTTCTACCATATCCGCTCCAGTGGCGGCATTCTGGCCAAGAGAGTGATTCAGGTACAAAAAGAAGATCACTGCTATGGGTTAGCATTTTCAATAAAAAGAAAAGAACTTCCTGATATTTTACATGGTAGTCGTCAGAGATAGCATCACTTGTAAAGTTAGATTGCTCCTTAACTCTTTAAAAGATGTAATCTAAGTTATTATCAATGTTTATCAGACGTTTATACAGTTGCTGTCTTGCTTGCTTCCTTCAAGTGTATTTTGAATCCTAATTTTTGTTGTTGTTCAGTAATGTCCATTACTGTAGGTAACAAGTATATGTGGGTACATTTTATGCTGGTTTTTCTCCTGCTTTCTGCAGTCCTTTGGCCTCTTTAGGGGTATAGCATGGAATTTTTAGGGGAATTGAAACTCAGGGTACTTACATAACTCTTCACTTGGATATCCATTCTGTGTTTTCTCAAGCAACACTTTTGCCCCATTCACACCAGCGAAACATGTTCAATTAAATTTGGTTTAAATGAATGAAAATCAGAAACAGAAATGAAAAGTTGAATTTCCCATAGGATTCAAGTCATCTCTAATTTGTATTTTCAGTGTGCTAAATTTGAATATGACAAAGATCATTTTAAGCAGTTTTTATGAAGAAAACAATTTTTAACCCATGTTAAACAAAACAGCTTGAAAACATGTTTGAGCTTTGGTGTAAATGTGTTATTTATTGTATATCATGAGCATTGAGTGTTGCTTTTTATCACCCTAATTATCAAGTTGCAAATTGCTGAATTGAACTGAAAAATAAAAAACCTTATCTCAGGGAGGAGGGGTTGGGGGGATGGACAGGCACCCTCAGGCCCCCTCCTCTCCCTTACCCTACCCTAGCTATGTCCCTGCTTTTTCAATCCAATTGTGAGTCATGCAGCATCAAAATGCTTCCTTAGCCCTTGTTTGACTTAAGTTTTACACTGAGGTATCTCACAAAATCAGAGCTTTGTGTATCTTATCAAAAATGATGGTTGTTGCTTTTATTATTTAATCTTCAGATTGAAACTGATGCTAGACATCTGAACTCTGAATTCTGGTAAGCCTCATCTTTGAATTTTTCAGCATGAAGTAGTAAATTGTGGTCAATGGAGTTACTACAGCTTACTGGAGCACTGAAGGGTTATTTCTTCCAGAGGTTACCATTATAGTAATGCTGGCTGTAGGCTTGTGAAGACAAACTTAATTTTCAGAAGGTAGCAGATATGAGAATGGTTAAAAACTATAGTTAGTGATTATGCAGTTACAAAAAAAATTCTCAACTCAGTTATGAATATTCTATTTTCCAGCTACATCCTGAAAGTTCCATTTGAAAATTACTCTGAAGATGGAATCATATATGTATGGATTGGCAGGTATTTCTCTCTAACCTTGTGCTGAATGGTTTGTTTCCACTGTTTTGTTCTCTCTTTGAAATTAACCTGAATGTTTCTTTTAAACAAACAGCAAAGTCTCAGAAAGTGAAGCTGATCATGCCAAGGAACTCGGAAATGAAATTTGGGATGTAAGTCAGAAAACTTCTCAAATTTAGATCTTATTTAGGACCCACTCCACAGAAAGAAGTTGGTTTTGAGAGATTTTTGTCATGTTGACTTGTCCATGTTGCTGATCTTTACCTTTGACAAACAGATTACCTGTGGTGGCCCATGTTAATTTTGTTTTTTGTTACATTTGTCTTCTCTGATTTTATTTTTTTCTTGTGTGTATCTTAGAGTGGCTACACAGTTCAAATTGTCAATGAAGGAGATGAACCAGAGAACTTCTTCTGGGTGGGTCTTGGAGGAAAGAAAGACTATGATAAGGTGTGTGTTTCACTACCTAAAACTTTATTTAGTTTCAGAGGGACTATATCTTTATCAAGAAGCTTTGGGGTTCAGGACCTGCTTGTTTGATTGTTGGATAAGGCTATCCACTGGATAAATTGCTATCAGATGAATAGCACAGTACATTTTGTTGACAGTTATCTGCTGGATAGCAATTTATCTGCTCCCTTTATACAACTGGGTCCTGGTAGCTAGTTGGCTTACCACAAAGAGCAATACAACAAGCCCTGGCATTGAGGGCAGTTTTGAATATAGCTTAGTTATTTAGTAGGACCACAGTGAAGTGAAGGAACAAAAACTTGTATGAAACAGAATGGATGGGCGCTACATTTAAGCATTGGAAAGTGGATTTCAGGGTAGCAAAATGTGCTCTTATAATAAGCAGTTGGTTTGAGCTTCCCAAGAATCACATAGAAGATAAATTTTTTTTCTGATATTAGCAGATAACTTGGTCTGTTTCCCAAGGTTAATTTTAGATTTCCTTTGCCCTCCCATAGGGGTCAGATTTTACTGTTAGGGATCATGTTTCATATGTGTTTTTTGCCTGTATCTTTGCAGTCTGCAGAGTACATCAATTATGCTCGTCTGTTCCGCTGTTCTAATGAAAAGGGGTACTTTTCAGTCTCTGAAAAGTGTTCTGATTTTTGTCAGGTGAGACTGTAAATAGGTGTATGTTTACTTAACTAGGGCTGCAAAAAGAAGACAAAGTATAGAATTCTCTAAAGCTAGATTCTTGTTAAGGAGAAGTGTCAATAGTGTTTACTTGTTTTATATGAATTAATATTTTTGTGTCAAAAAATTGGTACTATGTAGAAAAGAAACTATGGAGAAAAATTCACAGAAATGTATTAATCTTTACCATACTAATGGAACTGATTTTAACTTTTCCAGTGGTATTACCATTTCTAAACCTGTACTTACCTCTTTTTTGTTTGTTTGTTTGTTTATTTACTTTGGTTTAGGATGACCTAGCAAGTGAAGATGTTATGATTCTTGACACTGGACATGAGGTATTGATGGCAATAATTGGCAGTTTTTTACAGTTTGAAATTTAGTTGTTTAACTCTTTAACTCTGAAGATCTGATTGTTAATTCTCCCCTCTAGCTGCTACACATTTCCTTGTAAATAAGTTACAAGAATTTGGTGTTCAATCAAGATAACAACTTCTACCTGATAAGTTTGAGTATTCTCATTACGAGTTTGCTGGATAATATATGGATAATATAGGGAGAAGTTACATGTTAATCACAGTTTTCTACAGTGTAAAATTCCATTGGTTAAGTACTGTTTTTTTTGTCTTAAACTGATGATCAGAGCCGTATTGACATGATTAATAGACCCGTAATATTTTAATTGATAAATGCCCAAACTGTTAAATTGTGTCAAGTTTATCTATTGTCCGACAAAGCAGATGCAGTCAACTTTTAACCATGTAACAGACAAACTGTAAACCCATTTCATTCTTCAGGTATATGTTTGGATGGGACCTCAGTCCAGTGATGTTGAAAGGAAGATGGCCATCAAAAGTACACAGGTATTTTTATCAACACAACACTGTCAGTGCACTTGAAATGCCAGCTTTACAGAGCTCTTTATCATGGCCACCTTACATTATCAACTCAGTTCATTAAACCAATTAATCTTGTAATACCCACCTCTGACACAGCACCGCAGTTTTAAAAAAGTGATCACTCCCCCTCTTTTATGCTCACTGCAGTTTAAAAAGGCGAAGGGGGGGGGGGGGGAAGGTACAGACCTCTTCTTTCAAAGTACAAGCATATAGAGGTTAAATTAGGGGTGCTTCTAAGAGGCTTTGGTGTTGCCATGGTGACTTTCTGCATTAAGGAAACATCTTGATTTGTTTCATGATGTGTGGGGTTTTGTGCAATGATATTTTCAATTATCCCTCTGTAAAAGATTATGGTTGTAATCCTTCAAAAGTAAAGACTGAAATTATTACAAGTGAAGGAAAACTGTTATTGCAATATCTTTGTTAGGTTTATATTCAGCATCTTATGCAGCTGGACAGTGGTCCAATCAGGAAGCTGCGCTGCACCTTCAGAGGGAAAGAACCACACCACTTTACCAGATGCTTTCATGGCTGGGGCCAATTTCACGATCCAAAGATGTAAAATTTTGCAATTTAGTAGCCCTGAGCCACACGGAAAAGACATTGACAAGCCATCTTTGAACACAATGGGTTTTCCTATCATACTTCTTTCCTGCCAAGAAAAAGTTGTTGAACACACATTTACAGGAATTAATGCTCAACAATAGTATGGCTGCCTTAATTCTGCAAGCCACATTCTTAACTTTGGACAATGTGGTGCTGTTTATCACTCTGCAGGTTCAATGATCATTAAAATGCTAGTCTCAGTTTTTCTTTTATTGAAGGAATGGAATGGGTATAAATCTGCAAGCAAAGTATCAGGGAAACATAAAGAAATGGTAGGGAAAATGAGGGAGGTAATCTAAATTGGAGCAATGTCCAAAGAACTTTCAAATCCAGTTGACTTTGGCATCATATTTTCACTGGCAAGAACAAGTTCTTTCAGTTTTGCGACACCTGATAAATGGAAAGTACTCCAAGTGTCAAAATGATTCTCTAAGCAACTCCACAGCCTTACACCTGTTTCTACAGTAAATCTCTTGTAGAAAATAAACCATTTTGCATTATTTAACATAGAGTACAATAGACTTTGTTTAAATTGATCTTTATTGATAACAAAATGAAGTTACTCTTGTTGAGAAGGTTAACACACTTTTTATGTCAAGATTTACAAAAAAACGTGTAAATATTTCTGTGAAAGTGTAATGAATGTAGGTTAATCCTTGCACTTAGAAAGTTTTGAGCCTTTGAAGCAATTTATTAAATGGAAAAACTGCAAAGGAACATCTTGGTCTATTGCATACAAGTATTCATTATTTTGTTGCTGCACACAATTCTTTATACTTTTTACTCTATTGCATACGATTTATGCCATAGTGTTTTTTTAATAACCTATAAAAAAATAATACGACTCAATCCCTCAAACCAGCCTGATTTTTAGAATTTCCTTGCAGCTTGATGATAGACTAAACATACTGCTACGGCATACTTTGTCATCCCCAAAGGATGTTAAGAAAACAACATCCTTTTTACACTTCTCTCAGTATTAAAAATGACAAACAATTAAAAATGATACATATTACTTTACAATTCCAAGTCATTGATCCACTGATTGCTTAAGAAGCCACCAAAAAAAAATACAACTTTATACCAATTCTTTTTAAAGTTAAATATAATTATAATTATTGTAATATTTAGGGTGGATATACCACAAATTAATACTGTTACCAGAAAAGACACAGTCCTTTCACTGCACCCTCAGTTCAATAACCTACTTCCCAAGTTTCAATATGTATTACCAGTTACTACTTCTACGATAAATACCTAGTTTGCAACACCTGCTTTGGATATCAGAAATGTTTGTGTACCTCTTACTAGCCAAGTTCAAAGTCTTGACTTTAAATTATAGACCAAGTTTTTTCCTACTCAGACTTGTGGCCCAATTGCAAGGCAGAAAAACTTGTCTCCATAGCTTACAATATGGACTTAGAAATTGAGGTCAATAGGACATTAACCCTTTAAGTCCCACAAGTGACCTTGACAGAATTTCTCCTTACACTATCAGTACGATATCAAACAGACGTTAATGAGAATAAAGAAAAACATCAATAAGGGGATTATTGGTAGATCCAATTCCAAATTCTCCACACTAACATCACATGAATTGAATGGAAAAAATTAAGGAAAATTACTAAAATGAAATCTTAGGAGTTAAAGGCCTAATTATATATTGTAGCTCCACATAGAAGAGGAAGATTCCAATTCAAAAGCTTTTGAATGTAAAACACACTCTGATTAATTGACCAATCATAGCATACATACTTATGAAGAGATACAATAATTAGTCATCAGGATCAAATCTGAGTTTCAACAGGTACATCATGGTAAAGATAACACTTATTAGATACAGTTAAAAAAAACTGATTAAAAAATATACAAACATTTTAATCTATGTCATAGGAATAACTAAGTGTATTACTTTTGCAAAATAAAAATAATGGATCAATGGGGTAATTTCTAAGGCTTAAAAATATATCTTAACTATGGAAATTAAATTGTTTTATTTGCAAAATGACCCTCAAGAACAATGATAAAAACGGCAAATAAAACTTCATACTTACAAGGAAATGGTGACAAGCTAAATTAATGTACATCTGGTTTGAATTCTATTTGTTAGGTGGTAACATTCTTTGAAATATCAGTAAAACTATATCACCATCTAACGACAAATTTAAACAAGGACATTTTAAAGTGTTTCATTGAAGGAACTACAAACTGTGAATTCTATTTACAAAGAATGTTGGAAAACTTTGGGCCAGTTATTTTAACTAGTCTTCATCATCTCCAATTCAGCTGACCATTATGTTTGTATTTCGATTTTGAACAGCTATCACCTATAAAGAATCTTTCAGTTGATTGATTGTCTAAGGCTGCTTTCTTAGTTTAATTTTGTTAAAATAACTGGCCCTGAATGTTTGATTTCTATTCTATTTATGTTTGGTTAGGTGTTGGGGCAGTTACATAGTTTGAAGGAAAGATTCCGATAGCTCCATTGACTTGTCCCTTCCACCAATCAGGATTACTTTTATCCAACACTGTTATCCACTGACCTGCCGTGAAACTCAGCTCATCTGTGTCTTGCGCAGCAAAATTAAACAAGGCCTGCACCATCTCATCCTATTTTATAAAGGGAAAGAATCATTCATTTGACCCTTTGATTCCCAAGAGTAAGAAGTAAAATAATACACCAGTTTTATCGATTAAATTTTGACAATTTTAAGCATCATGTTTATGCAATTGGAAAGTTTAAGTCAACATTTGCAGTTGCTTTCGTGTAGGCTACTGGATAGATGTTTCAGTAAAAGCTGGTTACTGGTGGTCAAACACCTCTTGTAGGAACTCTCAGGGCCATTGGTTTAGCCTGTGGGCAGGGTTCACGTTTGGGATTTGCCACACAGCTCTCTATTATTTTATTGGCTGCTGTTACAAGAATTTAGTGAAACCCCTGCAACTAGATTATTTTTCTTTCAGAAAATATGTCAACTGTCTTTTTTTTTTCCTGATTAAACAATGGGTATTTGAGACTTGTGGTTTTAATCAATAAGTAACAGGACTTTTTGTCATCCAGTTCTGTCTTAAGTACTGACACTAAAATAATCAAGCCATCAGACTTGTGTTTTTACCATTATTAAATACACTGCAAGGAATACTCTGATGATAGGGAAATTTTAAAAAATCACCAACCAAGGAACATTGTTCACAGGATAGATCACCAAATTCTTGGGTCGGGCCAATATGGATAACATTAAAGGCACACATGTAACTTACTCTTAAGTCTGTATCACTGAGGAATATTTGTTGATTGTTGCTGACTGAGTTTGTTTTGTGGTGCTCTACCAACATGTTGAGAGATGAAAACTTTCTTATCCACAAATAGTACTTCCTCTCCTCATTTTTAAAAATTTTGAAGTGCTGAACATGGTCGCCAGTTCTGATGAAGAGAAATTTTTTATTTGTTATAAAAGCTTTAACCACCTGACTCTGCTAACTAAGTATATAGACATAAACTAAACTTGCACCCACAGGAAATGCTGTGGTGACCACTAAATACAGGTTGATCACTTATGACAGGTTCCACAATAGAGAGGTATCATTAATAAAAGACATTTTATTTAATAAAATGTACAAACACACTCTTGAAAATACTACTAGCATTGATTTCGGGAGATGAACATGGATTAAATATGCTTGAGTGACCATTCAGCACAGGTGGAAGACAATACATACAGGCTTTTGGGACTTGGGTAAAGGGTGACTGCCACAGTTTAATAGAGATGACAATTACTAAAAGTGTTTGAGAGAACAGAATTTTGTGACTGACAACTTAGCTCTTAATACAGGGTGACTGCTTAATCCTTTAACTTCCAAGATTCCATTATAATTTCTCCTTACTGTCTGCAAATAGTTCTTGTGATGTTAGTTCAGAGAATTTGGTATTGGATCAACTAATAATCCCCTACTTGAGATTTTTCTTTAATTATTCTCATCACTTGTCTGCTTGATATTGTACTGATATTGTAAGGAGAAATTCTGTCTTGGTCACTCACAGAAGTTAACAAAGAGCCTCTTAATGCAGGTTTGGCTGTTGTAACTTAAGAAAGATGGTATGTACAGTGTGCTAAGTGTTCTCCTGTGATCAGAGCTATTTAGGGTGACCACAGGAAGAAACAGAGATGCAATGGACATTGTCCCTGAGTCCTGATCTAGTTATTTAGGAATTATTCCATATTGAGCTTATTTCAAGTAAATAAATGATGGATTAAGCATTCATAATGAGATTTAGTATATGACCTGGTAACCAGAATTGAGTTACCTAATTATACTGTTAACACTCAAAAACAACATTCAAAGCCAAGAGTTTATTTTTTGTTTTATTCCAAGTACCTGGATGGGTACTGGTTATTTTTCACAAAACCTGAGCTAATGTAGTGGGCGAACAGCAATGTAACAACATTCAATCTAAATACAGAAGCAAACTATTTACCACTCATCCTAAATAGGAGTTTGACATACATTTCTTATGATATTCCCACATCAGCTGCATTGGCAGGCATTCACCTTTGTTTGGTGGCTGAATCTCAAACTTACAGTAGCAACTGTAGATTAGTGAGGTGGAGTGTTGTGCTAAAACGGCAAGTTGTGTTGTCAAGTTGTCATGGCACAAAAGAGCCTTATCTCTATTAATCCCTAACCATTCACTGACCTATAGAATATGCTGTGTTTTACTAATTCGTTTATAGGTTTTAAAAATTCAGTGATAAGGCAGAAATATTGCAAGATCATCCTTACCTAACAGACAGAGAGAAGTCTCCTGAAAAGTGATAACATCAAAAGAATTAACAACAGAGCAAAAACAACACCCATATCCTAAATTATCTTATAGACACTCCTTCTTAACCTTTAACTCCCATGAGAGACCAAGAGAGAATTTCTCCTCACTACATTTATACAATATCATGTAGACAAGTGATGAGAATAAAGAAAAATATCAATTATGGGATTACTAATTGGTCCGATACCAAATTCTCCAAACTAACATAATGAGAATCATTTGGCTAACAGTAAGGAGAATTACTGATGAGATCTTGAGAGTTAAAGGGTTAAACAAACACCCCTTATCTAACAGCACCCCCCCCCCTTGCCACTATGCTTTTAAGAGACCCATCACTAATAAACTCACTCTGCAATAGACACCCCCCTCAAACATAAATATATATATATATATATATATATATATATATATACATTATATATTATTCCAAACAGCATGACAGAGCAAAATCAGTAAGTTTTCTCAGTTTCTTCCTTGACTAGCAATGGTTTGCATGTTTTGCCTTGTTCATGGTCAGGTTTAAAGTAGAGGCATATTACTGGCTATGCTAAATATGCCCAACCATTTGAAAGTCAAACTGAACCAGAACCATGATTGACATTTACAAGAACTATATGGAAAACAGTTACTAGTAATGATAATTTGTGATCTCTTAGAGAAGAGTCAACAAAAAAGCAAAAAGACTGCCTAGATTTGTGACAACCCATAGCATGCAATTACCAATTCATTGAAATAAGAATTTTGCATTTTATTGTATGATTGATTGTAATATTTTTTTTAGCAAGAATAAGTTAATTGTGAACCATTGTTAAAGTAATCAGTTGCCCAAAATCAGATGGAGGACATCAGTGCTAGTGATATCCTTTCACTAGAAAGGATATCAGGATAAAGAATAAACAGAAAATCCTCTGTAAAACAAAGGGAGTGATGCAAAGAAGCCTGTGAGACTACAGTCAGCTCTTCCCTCACAAAAAACATGATCAAGGCCACAGAAGGAAGAGGGTACAACTTCTTCTATCTAAAATATAATAGCCATGGTCCCAAGAGGGGCCATTTAAATATCGCATAGACATGACTGAACTGACCAATACCTGGTGAGCTCTCACTCTCTCGGATGAGAAAGGCACCTTCATGTTGGACCTGCAGAAGTGCTTCTTCTGCTTGTCTTCTTGTTATTTTACCATGGAACCAGCTACAATAACATTTCAGTACAGTCAGCAACAACAATAAATACATATTAAAATGTTCTTAAGTTATACCTTTTCTACATTCACTTCTTGGGTGCCAATTTGAGGGCCACAGGTACAAAAGTTGATCTCACACAAAACCATACCTGCTGATCAAATTCTTATGCCTATAGAAATATTTGTGCTACTGTCACTTTTATCAATACATTTAAAGTATGAGTAGCATGAATGTTTTCAAGAAAAGATCAGGTTTTTTAATGATTCTTTTTTCCCAAAAGCCTCTAATTTAAGAAGAAGAGCAAACTCTTCACCACACCCACAAATATTTTTAGTACATGATGCTAAATCTTTGGAAATTTCAGAAATGACCGAGTCTTCTAAAATTGGTAGGTATACAAAACAGCTGTAAAAATCTGGAATTCCATCCCTTCCCAACAATCAACACAAAGGTTATGGTCTTTGATGACTGACCATATAGGTGAAAGGTTTGTCTTATACCTGAGACCTTAGTTAAACTGTCGTAGTGGCGATCGAGGACCTCACTTCAAGTTCAGCAAGGAGTGAAAACAAATTAGTTCTAGTTGCTTCTTTTCCCCCTTGAAAGCAAAGTTGAAAATTCCCCTCACACAGATGACAACATGAGGTTCGCGTGCATTTCAAGCAAAAGTTGCAAAAGAAATAAATGAGAAAACCAAAAGTGCCATTAATTTCTCGATCAAATTATTCAGCAGAGACCCTGAAGCTGTCATAAGTACAATGTTCATTCGAAGAGGCAATTGTGTTGTGGAAATATGAGCTGTAATGCGTGTTTCAAAACAATCAAGGTAAGAGGCTTCAAATATAATCGATAACAATGCGATATGCGTATTGGATTGTTTCTGTTAATTGTAAATCTCTCAACGGCTCAGCACCGCTTAGTGCACAATCAAAATGCAGAATTACACGCACAATATTGCAGAATATCAGACGGAGCTTAGAATTGATCAATTGATCAGTCGCTCGATTTGAAACGACGGAAGTCAAATCAACTGAGGGGAACTTCCTGACCTATTAACTTGAGAAAGGAGATCATTTCAGTCAAACATCATCTATGGTGCAACCAAAGAATTTGTCCCACATTTCATAACAGCACATTCGACGTTTCAAATCACAAGCTAAAAAACATTGAAATTCACTCGTGAATCGAAACAAAAACTTAAAAATGAAACTGTCACATCGATCTTCGGGTAAAATTTGAGCATACCTGTGAGGTCTCATCGTTATATAGGTGTTTGGAATCCAACCTTCTTGATCGTTTTGTTCTGCTTTATACCAATTTCTGTCCTCATCTTTGTCTAAGATCTGAAAATAAATGATATTTGGCTGCAAAATGATGCATAATCAAAGACTGAAAACCTGAAAGTCGAGTGCCAATAAATTATTTGAGTTTACATATTAAAAGAAACCCTGTTTACATTCAGAACGCTGCCTTTTTCGAAGGAGAGTTCGTCATCTTGAGAAGCAGTAAACTTATATTTCGCCACGGCCTCCATCGACAAAATTTCCTGTCTTCAACCAGCAAAATGATTCACCGAGAATATAATGGGTCTAGTTTAACACCGCCAAAATTCAACGCAACATGAAAACTGCTCATCTTCGATATGATTAATGCAGGAAGTGAACAGTAGGTTTTGGGACAAACAACTCGTTACCAGGTGAAACTCGGCCAAAAAATACGATTTCCTTTTATAGCAAAAAATTTTAAATGGCTGAGTTAGATCCCACGTACGAGTCGATTGAATTACCAGTCAGCTGACAAAAAGCTTCAGTTTATGGTTATCGAAGGTCATATCTCTCTGGGAAATTGCGACAAGAATTCTTATTTAGTGACTCATCGATGGGGTAGGTATTACTTCCGGTTCGGAAAGGGCGAGTTTCGTGTGAGTGAAGAATAAACGAAAAGAACAAAACATGATGTTGGTTGGTTTACTCTCTAAGAAACATAGGAATTTCATGAGGTTTTCACCGTTTAATCGTGCCACTTAGTATGGTATATTGCATGGCAAGATTTTTCAACAGTTTAGCTGCTTGTCCCAAAGAACGCCAAATCTAATTTCGTACCCAGATCCTACCGTGTAACTGTAACTGAAGGGCGTGGAAGGTACGAGACTAAGCCAAACCGAGCATAGTACGGGGAGGGGGAGGGGGGAAACTAACTGAGGGTTACTCACCAGTAGTCAGAATTGGCCAGCCTGACCTTTCAATGCAAGATTGGCCCAAAAAAAAAAATACTCGAAAGTTACGAGAATTTAATTTATGCAATATTTCACAAAAGTTGAGAACTAGCCCCGTTCACTAGGGTTTACTGAACGACATTTAAGAAACAAGCGGTAGAGTTGTTTGTCTGAACTATTCAATCACTTGGCTCACTTTTGTAGTATTCACTTAGTACAACAAATATGCAAGAGCTACTTTTATCACATGGAAAAGGACGCTCGATTTTATGCGAGTGAATAAGATAATTATTGGTTATTGCTATGTGATAATCAGAAAGTCAATCAATTCGTGTAGCTCAAGTGTTCATTGTCTTTTGATGGCTAGACTTCTTCTATAAATCTGTCAAAAGGGTAGTAGATACGCTACTATCACGCAACATGTAGTCTCCGACACAATTTTATTCCTTTTTATGCAAACAGCACCAATGGCGATCTGCTCCACTTTCGAAGAGGATGACACGGAGTCATTGAAACAGCATGTGACGTTTCCTTTGTTAAATTTCCTCTAGTAATAGGAGAAGAGTAAATTCAATTTGGAAAATGACTGACTTATAACTGGTCTGAACAAACATTTCTCTTTGCGAATAAGCCAATATGGCAAAACTGTTACGACTCCTCTGCAGATATTTTTGTGTCGAAGGGATAATAAGGAGAACAGCTGTCGCGTTTACGATGCGACAGCCGGAAGTGCTTTCTCAAACACTGAATTCCGCCTTACGATGGTCCGAGGAGCCCTGGAGTGCAACAGGGAAAAAATTAAAATATATCGTTTGGCTGTGGAGACACGTCAGTAAATACCTCGCTAATTCTAAAAAAGGCAACGACAAAAGAGCAGACCAAAAGCTGACGAAGGGTACCAGTGGGGATTTACTACTTTACACCTAAAGAAAACAAACATCGATGAAGAGGTAAAGGAACAGAGAACGTGAATGAGTCAGAAACTCGTTCCTCCTTTCCTGTACCCCAGTGATCAAGCTCAAAATTAATGAATCCTGTTACACAAACCCCAATCAAAATAAATCGATCGCGTGACAGACGTAAGCGAAGAGCGTCACGCAAACTAGTCAGAATAACACTGTTTCAAACTCCTTTCATCATGTCTCCTCGATAACACCTCTCTATTGCTTCAAATCCTAGAGACAGAAAAATGAAATGTTCCCTTACAATAAGATAAGGGTCTATCTTCTTTAGCTAAGCAACAACATCAAATTTGCGGCGGCGAAGAAGACTTCAATCCTTATGAGGCCATATAAGGCCGAAGCAATATAAATTACTAAATTTGGCGTCATACACTTGCGCACAAAGTGAAAAAAAGAAAAACTGGAAAGATTTAGAACGACGGATTTTATTCGCATCCGGTTTCCTAATCAAAATACAACAATACCTACTTCTATTGAAATGTCGCCCTTGAAACAATTTGGAACGACAAAACCCTGCTTAACTGAAATTTTGATTGACTGCTCCATACAGTAATCATTGACTGATCCTTATCCTTAGTCCATTCCATAATTCAAGTAACCTTAAATTTTAAAATGTATTACCGTATCGATGAATGTCGAGAAAAACTACTAACGAAATTCTTTAAGACGTTGTTGTCAGCTGTAAGATTCTTTGGTTTGAAATATACTATTTAATCGAGAGAATGTAAAGAAGAATGAAAAGCCAGAATGGTGATGAGATTTCTCAAACCAGTCCTTCATCGATCATAGCCTGAGCCACTTTAACAAATCCACCAATATTTGCTCCTTTCACGTAATCCACAGATCCATCCGGCCCTGTGCCGTACTTGACACACTGTAGGTTGACTTGCTTCATAATGTGCTGCAATTTGGCATCCACCTCCTCTCTCGTCCAAGCACTTCTCAGGCTATTTTGGGTCATCTCTAAACCGGACACTGCCACGCCCCCAGCGTTTGATGCCTTCCCTGGACCAAACAACACCTTGTTTTTCTGCAACACTCTCACCGCCTCTGGCTGTGTTGGCATGTTAGCACCTTCAGCCACGCATATGCATCCATTCTTAACCAGTTCCTCGGCATCTTCTTTTCCAACTTCGTTCTGCGTAGCGCACGGAAGAGCCACATCACATTTGACACCCCAGGGTTTCTTTCCCTCCAAGTAAGCCACTTTGTAATGTTTAGCGTACTCGCTAATCCGCCCACGTCTGACATTCTTCAGCTCCAATACATACGCCAACTTCTCTGGTGTGATGCCGTCTGGATCATGAATGGTCCCTGCCGAGTCTGACAGAGTTATGACCTTGGCACCGAGTGCAGTTGCTTTCTCGCATGCGTACTGGGCGACGTTTCCAGAGCCAGAGATAGCAACCGACTTGCCTTTGATGTTGTCGCCTTTAGAAAAAAGCATCTCCTGAACAAAGTACAGCAGACCATAACCAGTGGCTTCCGGCCTCAGTAGGCTTCCACCCCACGGAATTCCTTTCCCGGTCAGCACACCAGTGAACTCGTTTCGGATCCGCTTGTACTGCCCAAACATGTACCCTATCTCACGCCCCCCTACACCGATGTCACCAGCAGGGACATCCGTGTTTGGGCCCACGTGCCTTTGGAGCTCGGTCATAAAAGACTGGCAGAAACTCATCACTTCGTTGTCGGTTTTGCCCTTGGGATCAAAATCAGAGCCGCCCTTTCCGCCGCCCATAGGAAGAGTTGTAAGACTGTTCTTCAGGATTTGCTCAAATCCTAAGAACTTTAAAATCCCCAGATTGACTGACGGATGGAATCGAAGACCACCTTTGTAAGGACCAATGGCGGAGTTGAACTGCACTCGGTATCCACGGTTCACATGAATGTCACCTTTGTCATCCCTCCAGGGAACTCGGAAGATTACCACTCTCTCTGGCTCAACCAACCTTTCCAGGATGTTATGTTTGTCGTACTTGGGATTCTTTTGAAGAAAATCCCACAATGAGTCGACTACTTCTTCCACTGCTTGATGAAATTCGTCCTCTCCTGGGCTTCTCATTTTGACGTATTCCAGGAACTCTTCGGGTGAGGCGTACTTCCCTGCCATTTTACTGTTAAAGTTAAACACGAAAGTAAATTAAAATATTTCATTCAGTGTTCAAGCCTTGTGATCCTCCCGACATGATGGGTATTAAATAGATGGATCAAAGTCACTATCTGAGAAACTGCGTACCAATCCCCCCCCCTACCCAACAACAGACAACTGATAACATGTTAGGGTCAATGTTGGGTTACTGATCGAATCGAGTTTTAGACTAGTATTTCCTTGTATTTTAAAACAATTTAGAGTCGAGCAAAATCGATTCAAAATGACAGACTGGGGATTATTTGAACAAAAATGACGGGAGGTAAGTATGATTTAAATTTTTATTGAAAGATTATTCTTAGTTTTCTTTTTTTTTTTTAATCGAGTGGTCCCGCTTTTAGTCACCGTTCAAGACAGGTGGAGGACAATACAAACAGGCCGTTGGGACTCAATTAATCCTTTACACCCGAACATCAGAATTCATATTCTCCATACTGTTCGTTGTACATTTATTAAGGTGCTGACAAGGAGAATTTGTCTAACAATCAAGAGTTTCTTTTACTAGTGATCATTTCCTTTATTCTCATGACCTTAATGATATTGTAAGGAGAAATAAGATGCCAGTCACTCTTAGCGTTTGGAGAATTAAGGGTGACTGCTACCTCTTAACAGAAGTGACCGCTTAATAGATTTAAGAATTACAGTCATTAAGGTTCGACTGTAATGATATCAGAGTTCTCCCCCGCCCCCGCCCCCCTCCCCACGCCCCACGTTCCCACGGAACCGTCCGTTGGAAAACCAATAGGAAGCTATTTCTGTCAGTCTTCTGTACATACTTTGTGGTTCTTTTACCCCATTTTTTTGATCCGGTCTTAACCCTTTACACACTAACATCACTATGCATATTCTCCATACTGTTCTCTATACATTCCCAAAGGTACTGACAAAGAGAATTTGCCTAACAATCAAGAGCGTCTTTAGTTGATGATCTTTTCCTTTTTTCTCATGACCTCAGTGTTTGTTTTAGGGGTGATACTGATGGTTAGTAATCACTCTTAGGGGCTAAAAGCTTAAATAATTCGAGTTTTATACGATCTCAAGCAATGGAGGCGTCTGTGTCATTCTTGTTTATGTCACGAAGGTTTTCTCATAATCAGTCACCTAATCTTCTTTCTTGTTTCGCCGATGTAAAACTTTTTGTAAAAAGTGCATATTATGCAATATATGACATTGATGGAGGTACTGGTAAAATGATCAGTAACCTTAATGAACCAGACGCGTCCCAATAATTTCTCAACGTTATGAATGAAAGGACAAGTTTTGCGTTGTGTATGCGCTCATTTTAAGGTTCCTGGTTGGTCGTCTCATTGGAGTGCACTTCTGACGAAAAAGTCGCCAATGATACGTTTGTGTGGAAAACTAGAGGAGGTTACCAAAGGATTATACCAGTTTCGGGCTCATTTGGATGTACTTTAGTTCTTTTATTATAATGATGAATTTTGCTGAGTGATTGTGAGACAGTGAAATTCGATCGTTCTTATTGCTTCTGGAACGTTTGTAGTGCTGATTGTCGAAGATTTTTTTGGGCGCGGATATAGCTCGCTTGATTTGTAGAAAAATCAGAGTCCTCACTACACGAAAGTCGAAATTTGAGAAATTGAGAATAAGGAATGGAATTCTTGACATGTGTTGGATGTGGAGTTGAATACATATTGAAATATATCGTTCAACAGCGATGCATTCGACACCTTCGCTGGCGTAGCCAGTTTTTTTTTTTTGTTAAAAGAAGTATTTTTCTAAGCACTAGGCTTTGGAATGTACTTTTTAAGGATTACTAGGGATAAAGCTATTCTCCCTGGAAATTTGTTATGTTTGTGTTCTGTCAAGTTGCAGATAAAGCGCGTAAAGCAGAACACAACTTTCAGATTGCGTCTTCGACAAGAAGGAAAGTCCTGAAATTTTTCCGAAAGGTCTGGATTGAAGCAGATATGTAACGATAAAGAAAATGAACGACACTTTTAAAAACATGTTTCGACAGTTCTTCTGTCATCTTCAGTTCTGAATAATACAAAGTACAAAAGCCTGAAATCTTACTAAAACCCACTGGAAAAGATCGGAGCGAAAATTGTCTACATCATTCGTCAGTGCAACAGTACGTGACAATTCACCTGGTGACTGTCGGCTTTTCCAGGCGTTCAGTTAGTAAAAAGGAACAAAATAGCTTTAAAGGCGCTATAGTCACGGCGCGGTGAAAAAGTGAGGGGTTTCCCACTCGCCACCATGGCGCTGTTTTAGCGTTGTTTTACCGACTGAATGCCTAAAGCGGGTTAGGAAAAAAGGAACGGCTTTTACAACGACGCGCTCTTCTTGTTGTTGATTACTCTAGGGGACAATTGCTTTTTGACGCCTGACAGTGTCAAACTGGAAGAACTCAGTGCTCAAGCTCAAAGCACAACCTAGCCCCCTTCAGAAACAGGCTCAGTTGATATCTCGATGCTTATGATTGACTTTGTGACCTTAAAAAAAATGTTGTTGGTTAAAAATAAACAACAGTGAATTGAATAATTTGTCTATTGTACCCTCGATTTTAACCTCGAAACGTTTAAGAAGTTTTTAAATTAAGCAGTTAGGAGAGGACATGAGCACATGACGGACCATGACGCCGCGGTTCAAAACTAATAAAAATTAACTATGCGCCTAAGAAGGTTTTATTGTGTCTACCGCTGTTTTGAGCGTCTACTTTGCATAGAAAAATAATTATGTAATACTTTCTCCTATAGCATTATGCAAATATTCCCTTTAGCAGTTATTTTTTTCTTCATAACACAAGAGCCTTCGGTATAGAACTCGAGACGAGAAAATAAAAGTAAATCATGGGATATCACAAAGACTACGAGCAGTACCTCCTTTTCGGCGAAGTCGGTCGAAATCGTTGATGCGCCGCGGGAGCTCCTTGAGTGAGGCGCTTCAGTTATGGAGCTACCGCGGCGTATCGACGTCCTCCAAGTGCTCCACGTGGCGCGCAAACATAATTATTTTTTAATTTAATAAATTTTTTTTTTTTTGACTCGCATGACGGACCTCGCCGAAAAGGAAAGACTGCTCGCATGGTGCAAGATCTAGATATCATATGATGTACTATTCCAGGGCGTTGCGTAACTTTTGCTGAATCCATTCGACTGCATTAGTTCACTTTGTCCGGAAATGGATGAAGACGTGAAACTCGTGTTTAGATTAATGGATTAGTGACGTGTTTTGAATGAAAAATGTTGCTCCCAAACGCAAAACTCAAAATTTGATTGTTTCGTGCCACGTCCACCTTTGTTGTCACACTAAAGGTAGGGATTACTTGGAGCTAGTACAAGTTTACATGTACTGAAGGTCCCCAACGAACGAGAACAGCTTATACGTTTGTAAAGCAATATATTCTAACCTCTGCAAGATATCGGCGACGAAACGTTCCTGAAGAGCTGGAAGTTGGCTACTCACATACGCTTTGCGCTCTATTCAGTCAGCCGACAGTGTAAAATGTGTAATTAAGAATCATGTTACTGTCATTCTTCCCATCTCAATTATTCTTTGTTCGCGTATTGTTAGACATTGTCGATCCAGGCCTGTTGTCGATCAAAGTCCAGCTTACAGCCACGCGATCGAACCACTCCAATCAAAGCAAACCACTCAAAGAAGGTGTTTAAATTATAATAATTTCATTTAAAATATATCTAAATAGATCCGATTTCTGGACACGTCACTTAAAAGGATGAACAGGGCCATGAAGACGTGACCTCTGTAGATGAATAGTTTAGTAACAGGTTTTGAATCAATTTGGTTCTCCGAGACGCAAGATCCAAAATTTGGTTAATTTCTGTTTTCAAACCCACGTCTGCCGTTGTTGTCGCGCAGAAAGTTGAGATTTCCCTGAGCTGGAACAACTTTACGTGTACCCAAGTCGCTATGGAACGAGAAGAGCTAATGCATTTGTAAAGCAGTATTTTCTAACCTCTATATGATTTCTCTGATAGAAAGTTCTTGCAACGCTTTAAGTAGGCTTCCCAAGCACGCTCTTGCGTCCTACTCAGACAGCCGAACTAATCAATATTGCTGCCATTCTGTCTATCTCAATGGAACATTGTTATTTTAAAGATAATATTTGCACATCTCTCTTCGATCATGACCAAAGTCCGGCTTACTAAGCTAGATAATTTTCAGTTCAAAGTCGCAGAATATTCATGATTCGAAAATAAACTACCTGCTACACGGCTAGCAAATCTCCATAGTCTTATAAATCCCAAGGAGGTAAAAATTTAATATCTGTTAAACATTAACTCCCGGTTCACGTGAAAGGATGGTGTAATCACCTCCCCCCAGGAAAATAACAAAATACTGTATCTGGATTGCTAGAAGGCCCTCGTGGTCTTAATTAATATACATACGAACGCGTCGTCCTTTACACGAATGAAACATTTAATCGGAATGGAATAGATAGCGAGGTCAAATGCACATTCACAGTTAGTTGGTTGCGCGAAAAAAAAAATTGAACTAATTACCAGCTAGTTCAATGTTTGCACAGCGATAAACAGTTAAATTTGGTGAAGCAGGGCGGGAGTGTTCTTGACTGACCAAATTCAATTTTGTTCGACCTGCCTGCTCAATTAATGCACAATGATATTGTAAAAATCCATTACTGTTTGTAGGACAGAATTTCATTTAACGAAGCGGCAAAACTGATTGCTATGGTAGAGACAAACCAGCTCACCGTTTCTTACTGTTCCCTTGTCCTTGCCAGGTGCAGAGAAAGCTGAGTGTTTCACCGGCTTGAGACGACGCTAAGAATTTGAAATTTACATATCACTTCGTTTTTAAAAGTATCACATATGTCACGCAATCTTTCAAAACCCGTTGACGTGGCTACCATCTGATGAGATAATGACAGAACGAGGAAGGCATGTTCATGAAAGATCTGCCTTCAGAAACCGGCAAATATTAAACAGGAACTTAAGAATGACATTTCATTGATAAAACCAAAATTTGATTATATAAAGAAACTAAAATAAACTAAAATAAGCCGTTAATACCGCTAAGGCATCAAACGGGAAATATCACCCATTACTAGGTGATGGATGTCATCAGGCTTGCCTACTTAGTAGAAGTAATTTAACATCAGCAGATTTGCCCCAGTAAAAGTACAGTGATGTTATGGTTACTTTTTAGCGATGATTAAGATGAAGGCGTAGTACGTGACTATCGTAGTCTAGACTGCTGTGGGATTTTAAGCCACTAACCTTGTCTGTGCAAACTTTTAGCATACAAGGAGATTTCACGCCGTTAGTTAACATCGTAAAATCTTACAGTAAGCATCTATAAAAAAAACTGAAAGAAATTACGCCGTTATTTAACGGCGTAAAATCTTACATGTTATTTTATATATTACCAGTTTTTAGGTACTTTAGTTATTACTGTAGTTATTGCACAGCTTGCTTGCACATATACATAAACTGTACTTGCCTTATTAGAAGCTATTTTACTTCCCTCCCACCCCTCTCAGTAACTCGTTTTGCTGGTCTGCTAGTCTCTGTCCGGATTTTCTTCCAGGCAGCCTTTTGTTTTTTTGTTTAAACATTATGTATGGGTATTATTTTATTGTTAGCTGATATATATCATGTAAGAGCACAGGCTGCCTAAGCTCACGTCTCGAGAAAAAACAAATGATTAATCATGAAAGCGTCACGCGTTGTGTAACTCGGTGTTAAGTTATCAGAGGAACCGTTAAGAATTTGAACATATTATAAGGAATAGTATGGGGAACGAGATATGGTCGATTTACAACGATAAATATTTCGAAATATGAACATTTTACACGTAATTCAATAGTACTTACTCACATCTTGTGTGTCCGTTGTGGTTTTTGGCGATTTCTGCCGTTTAAAGCTTGCTTTTCCATCATTGTTATTCTTGTCTTCATCTTTTGGCAGGAATAACAAGCTTAAAACGGCAGAAATCGCCAGAAACTACGACGGACAAACAGGATGCGAGTAATTTTTATTGGCTGTACGTGTGACGTTCTCATGAATTAATGAAATTTATTGTGAAATATTGGTAAATTAATAATCTTGCAATAATAAAGGCTGTCCTTTTCCCAAACATTGCCTGGCGTTTTGTTTTGTGGTTTAGACATTTCTTAAAGTGCTCCTGTTTTGGTTTGTTGTACCATTGCTCTAAGAAATAAGGTCATCTTTGTCTCCTGAGCCGCTTTATGTTCATGATTCATAAGATAAAAGTCGAAAACTAGCTTTTACTTCAGGTAAATTCTAAAAGTTGGATTATCTACAGAACGTATTGACTTCCGTTTAGTCAATGATCGATTGAACGCTATAAAAAACAAAGAGACAAGCAGACAAACAAATAATTCGCAACAAAGCAAGTTAGTTTTCTGTAGCAATCATTTGCGAAGGGGTCTTTGATACGTCACGCATATCAAAAGCAATTGTCTTATGTGCATGAAAATATATCTTCCAAGCCCTCCTCTTCTGACGCTTTCGAAAATTCAACTGTTTTACCACCTTTTGTTGAGGCCGCAAAAGCGAAATTTTCGCAAAAGTGAAATAACAATAACAATCACCACTAATATTGGAGGTCAATACACTGAAAGATTGTGACAGCGAAAATTAGGTGAAGTTATGTGGTTTCTTTTCTTGTGCTCATTTATTGGCGAAACGGTAAACAAGACTAACCTTGCATTCCTCGACAAGTTAAGCGAATGCACAAGAGACCCAGGATTAAGATGTCAAACGAATGCTTGTGGAGCGTAAAAAAATAAGCACAATGGCGACGATCGTGTCACACCCGTCGGAGGGGATATTACTCTAAAAATTACAATGTCGGCCCACTTATGAACGGTCATGATATATGAGAATCGTAATTTAATTTTAAAAATCGTTGAGAACAAAATTCCAGAAGAATCCCCTTGTCTGGCCAATCATCTCATTTTCCATCCTTTTCATTTCTGAGATGGCGAGTCAAAGCAACCCTGATAGTAACGACAATAAAGGCCATGAGAGTCTTAAAAGCGGTAAGTACTAAAACATGGAACGACCTAAAACCACCTAAAACCACCTACAACCATCTACATGGTACATGGTGGTTTTAGGTGGTTTTAGGTCGTTCCATGTTTTAGTACTTACCTCTTAAAAGCACAATCTGCATTGTCTATCATCTTTAATTCCAGATATGTCTGAACTTGTGAATGAAGCATTGTAGATTTTAAACACCAATAAATGCCCGGATAAAAAATAATTTATAAATACCTTACTTTTGATCTTTCAAATTTTTCAATAAATCTTAGAAAAAAGAACTAATACCATATAGTCATTATTCCCTGTCATTCTTTTTCTGATCTCAGAACTGTTGCACAACACAGCAAAGATGTCATACAACATTCCTTTCCAGAATATGGAATGTCCTTCCAAACAACAGTCATAGTAAAAACCTTACAGGAGAAATCTGACAATCAACAACCAATTCAACCTTTCCCTATTGACAACATAACTTATATTCATTACTCTGCAGGTCATTTCTCTTGAAGTGGTAAGCTGCAATGAGAATTTGGAGTTAGTAGAGACAATGTCACTTTGTTGATGCCTTCACTGTTATTTTTGCCTGATGGATGATCAGTGTACACTGTTGGGAGCAGAAAAATTTGGATCTGTTGATAATCTTGTTGAGCTAGTCCAAAGACTGTATTTCTATCCAAGTTTGCAAGAAAATCTTCTCTGCATCATTGATCTCAATCAATATCCAGCTGCAATAGTTTGGTTGTAATGTTATTTACTGCATTTAGTGTTGGCGAGTTAGGAAACAAATCTATAAAGGCTTGGCCATCTTCCAAGGATTGCGTTAAACTTGGATCCAGTGGAATAGAACCTAAAATGGCGATAAACACAATTAGTTATATCTGATTTACCTTTGGCCTCATTTTTTTAAAGCAAGTCCTGGTGCTCATCCTTTAATATAATTATAAATTTTCACTCACGTGCAAATTAAACTCATTTTCATATGAATGGTTGAGCACCAGGCCTGGTTTTGAAAAAGAGGCAAAAGGTAATTCAGAAATGGCCTAATCACAGCTGAAAGTGAAGTGTGCCTGAAAGATGACATCATTTAGAGAGACATCATTTCATAGTAAAACAGAAACTTAGAGAAGAAGGAACAGTTTGAATTTCAAATAATGTAACCATCTACAGTGTCAGATGACATGAGACCTAATGAAATAAAATTCAACTCAATGATGAAAAGTAATGTTTTACATCATAAATTGAATTACACACATATTTTGATTGGTTCTTTTTCATGATCTACTGGGGGATAGTTGCATAAATGTTGTCATCATTAACAAATTTTGCTTTGTTATCATATAAAACAAACAAAATTCTATGTTGCTGTGGGTCTGTACAGTAGGAGATCATAGAAAACATCAAAATGTGCCAGGAAAATCAAGGAACCACTTGGCCTTCCCTCACATGCCACCTTTTTGCTCTCACCACATTTTGACATCATCTGTGATATATGACTGAACAGACACATGGAAACCTGCAAGAGTGGTTACTTACAATGTGTTCCACATGATACAATTTCACTAGAGAAGATAGAAGGTTTTCAATTTTGAGAGGTGATCATGGAGGGCAGTATAACTATACCAAGTCTATCAAAATACTAGAAAATAAACTATCACCTAAAAATGGTATTTTGCAGCTGTCTGCTAATGCTTCTCCTCCTCCTTTTGAAAACACATTTGTACATTCCTAAAACACAAGACAATTGTTGTGAAATAACCAATATTGTTAGGAAAATGACTTGAAATTATGAGACCTGGCAGACACTAGCACTTACACTACAGTGAGAACAGACAAATCCACTCATGTTCTCCACCACACCCAAGACTGGGATCTTTGTCTTTTGGCAGAAAGTGAGTTCTCTTCTGACATCATTAACTGCTACTCCCTAAAGGATAACAAAAGCAGTATTCATGATATTCAACTACAGCTGGTATCTTTTGTCCCTCTGACTTCTAAGAGTGACTAGCATCTAATTCTTCCTTACAATATCTCCCCAGAAACACATATTATGGTCATGAGAATGAGGGAAATGATCACCAACAAGAGAAGCTCTTGATTGTTAAATTAATTCTCCTTTTTCAGCACCTTAATAAATGTATAGAGAATATTCATACTGATTTTAGGGTAACATGTCCCACTCAAAAAGACTTCAAGGGGAAAATTGGTTTCATCAAAGAGGTGGTGTTTCCTAGTGTAGTCTACATGGTAGCTAAAAGGTTATTAGATGAAAATTACAATTTCCCAACATACATGGTTTTACCAGTAATCATAACCATTAAAATTTCCTCAAAAGTGATTGGTGCATTAGATGCATTATTTTTCACTAATCATTCTGTAGAGCTGTAATCAGACAGTTGGCTGTAATCAGACACCTGTAATGGGACAGTTGAAGTAGTCAATCATACAAAGGCCACTCAGCCAAATCCACCAATCACAGAATTAAACACAACAACCATAGCAACAGCCACTTATCCAAGAAAAATTGAGGAATTTCCAAAATGGAGAAATGTTTTTACTTTAGACATCATCTCTACTGGAGATATTTGACCTAAATGTGTTTGTGGTTTTCGGAAATTGAAACAGTTATGATTAGTTGGTAACAGGACTTCTTGTCATCCAATTCTGTCTGTAATCACACGTGATTGACAAATTGGACTCCCCCTTCGTGGTTGTCCAATTTTGTTAATCACTCATATGTTTACAGAGCAAATTAGACTCCACTTAGTCCTATTACCATTATTAATCTGTTACATTACAAAGAGTGAGAGGTACTAATTTATCTGTACATTATTTTATCTCTTTACACAGGAAGAAAGCTAACACTGTATTCACAAAATTCTGGACTCCTCCACTCTATGGCTTTTGCAGGGACAAGAACCTATAACTATGACCTGAGCCCACAGGGACAACATCAAATATAGCCATTTGTACCTGAGGAGTAGTAACAAGAATGGCTCCATCTGGATTGTAATCTCGCAAATTCTCTACAACAGTTATGTGCTCATCAGATGTCCCTAAAGTTAAAACAAAGTTTTCTCAGAGGTTCATTTGAGTTCTCTGTCCATCTGATTTTGTTTCTCCATTCCCTTCTCCCAAAAAATCCTAACAATCAGACCATCTAGAGTTTCATTACAATTTTCCATTGAACTCGTTTCAAATTCTTATCACCCTTCTGTATTACATTGAGTCAATAATGACCATTGCTGTCGAATCTCTGTCCTTCACATATCCATCAACATCTCTGGCCAAGCCTTAGGGGAAGGAATTTGTAACATGATTACCTTTGTTGACTTCATATGGGTGACACAATTACTAGTGACATAGAAGTTTTCAATACAGCCCACTAATCAAAAAGACTCACATAGCTCAAAATTAATAACACAAATCAAACTTAACATGGTTAAAAGCCCCCATTGGCAAGAGGCCAACCAGTTGTCCAAAATGGATTGCAACTGCCCAACCCTCTCCTCACTAGATCATGCTGATTCCTTTGATAAGTACTGAATGCACACAATCTAATAGTGATGGGGAACAAAAAAGAAATCTTATTGTGTGACAAACAACTTAGATTTCACTGCTTTGTACCTGGTGGTGTGTCAATTACCAGATAGTCCAGCTCTCCCCAACACACATCTGATAGGAACTGCTTGATCATTGCTAAAAAACCAGAAAATTAACATTTAACAAAAAAATTTTAGTAATGCCTGCCTTAACAATGGATACTCCCCATGAACCATAGATAAGAAGCTAGATCATCACAGATTCTCATGAAGTTTTAGAAGTTTTGAAATTATACTTCAGCCTACATATGGCTGTACAAAAGTCCATCCTGGAAGACAAAACAATCACTCAAGCAAAACATCAGTATAGTAGTACAGTAGTTTTAGCCTGACTACATTAAGCAGTTTACAATTTTTTGAAGGAAATTTTTGCAAGTGCCCTCTTTTCGGTATCAAGACTAGACCACAACACCAGGAGCTGCATTCCCTACTCTTAACAAGAAGTACATTGGTTCTTAAGCTTTCTTTGCAAACCAGTACAGAGGAGATACACAAGACACAAGACAGGGAAAGGATGCAGGATTTTTGCAGCTTCGGAGAAAAGCATATTAACTAATTTTCTTCAAAGACAGGGTGTAGGTGATAAATTGAATTATGTTAACCCTTTAACTCACATGAGTGACCAAGACAGAATTTATCCTCACAATATCAATTCAATATCAACCAGATGGGTGATAAGAACAAAAAAAATTATCAATTTGGGAATAATTAGTTGATACAAAACTAAATTCTCTGAACTAATATTACAAGAATGTATGGTTGACAGTAAGGAGAACAACAAATTTGATCTGGGAGTTAAAGGTTGAATAAGGTACCAAATACCATTTTTCTTTGGTCCTCTCCAAACCACTGCATCATCTCTGCTATTTAAAAGGAAACCTATGGACATGACTGCAAGTCTTTGGTCCTTGTCTGTATAAACTGGAACCCAGCTAAAAAAAATAGATAGGTGTTACACTGAGAAGGCATTGTTTTAAAGAGGGTTTCAGTTGAGAGTTGCCTACTTGATCATGACAGGGCACAAGGTAGAATCAGGCAGAACCAGATTCAACTGTTCATGGGTGGTGTTTTCATTCTATTGGAGGCACTGCCTTTCAAGCTACACATCTCCTTAGGGGCTTCCATATGTACAGGTTTCAAAACATGTTCACTACTGTCTCTTTTCAGCCCAGAAAGGAATCTTCATAATAACTTGTATGCTTACCATTTTATATCAAACTTCTTGAAAGAATATGGGAGTCACTCTACAAAAGTTACCCTCAAAAGAGCATAGAATCACCCCTGACAATTTCCTCCAGGTATCCCCCTCAGGTTAAAAAACTGACTGTTGTTTGGTACCCAACACTTTGCTGCTAACACAGGTTAGCCTGAAAGAGGTCAGGAACAGTTTGAGAAAATGGTCCTTCAATCCTTCAACTCCCAAGATCTAGTTGTTAATTCTCCTCTCTAGCTGCCGGACATTTCCTTGTACATTTCTCGTTTGGTGGATAATGTGTGAATATTACAGGGCAAAGATATATATTAATCAGTTCTGGGAGGTAAAGGGTAAAGAAAAAAGGTATCCTCAATGACTCACCCAGCGGAACACTGGTGTATATCACATCCCTCTACACTCATCATTCTTGGAATACTTGGTCCACATAAATCCACATCCAGTATTCCAACCTAAAAGACCAAGGCAAGATTTTATCATGACATCCATGTTTCTATACACACAAAACTTACATTTCTAGAAACAATCAAATCTTTTGCTGTAGTAACCCTAGAACCATCACAATTGTCCATTAACCAGCAATATCTAGTTAACCCTCAAACTCCCAAGATTTCATTAGTAATTCTCTTTACAGCATGAAACTCTTAAAGAAATTAGAGTGGCTCCCTTTTTATGACAAAGTCAAGTTAAATAAGAGCGTTTTAGTTTTTAAGCATTTACAAGGATGCTGTCCTGCACATATGTACAATATACTTAAATTTAATTCAGACCTACACACGTGAACTGGTTGTTATAGTAAATTAAATCTCGCCTACCATCGTTTCAATCGCGAAACCGAGGCAACCCAAGCAGCATATTTTATTTTATATAGTTTTTAGTTTGCATTCTTATAGACCTGTTTTATAATCTTCAAATTCATTTTACATACATTTTATACATTTTAACTCTAATAATGGTACTTTTAGGATTGAGGGCCTTTAGTTCATCAGTTGAATTACTGTTATGTGTTACCCTCCTTAAATAAAGTTGTTATTATTATTATTATTATTATTACTTTCTGCCAAATGATTCTCATTATATTAGTTTGGAAATTCTGGTAGCAGATCAATTAGTAATCCTATAATTGAGATTTTTCATTATTCTCGTCACTTGTCTGCTTGATAATGTATTGATATTGTAAGGAGAAATTCTGTCTTGGTCACTCATGGGAATTGAAGGGTAAAGGGGAAACAAGCAAATTACGAAACTTTGAGGGATTACAAGTGGCACAGAGAATTATCTGTCAGAGGGATAAGACTTTGACAAGGTCATTTTCAACTGGAAAAAATTTCATAAAAGAAAAAAGGATAATAAATCTTTTCACCTACAAAATCTTCATCTTAACTACTCTTACTTTCTGTCATAATTGCACAGTTCATGGATTAGATACTCAAATTTTGGGAATGAAAGGGTTAAAATGCATGCACATCCCAGGACACCAGTCTGCATAGAATGGCAGAATTTAAATTGCACTGACAAAGGGCTAATGCTTGAAATGTCAGCTTTAAAACTCCTTATGGTAATCAAATTACGTTACCAACTCAGTTGATAATACTAAATTACATTGTTATACTCTCTCACTGACACAGCACCACAGTTTCTATAGACACTTACCCTTTATGGCAGAATTTGATAAGATCTTGCGTGTGCAATGTGGCAATTCTAGCATGCAAAGTGAATGTTCAAAAAATAACTTGTGTGTGCACCTGCCATACTCAGCAGACTGGCCCTGATGTAAATTTGGGATATTAGTATGTGACGGGGATTATAACTGGTAGAAGTCGTGTTGGTGAAGATATAGCTGAGAAAATTGTTAACCTTTTTGCCTTTGCTGTAGAGAGACCAAGCAATCTGTGTTGTAACTGTACTTTTTCCAACACCTCCTTTACCGGAAAGGATTAGAATCACATGCTTGATAGATTTCATCACATCTCCAATGCTTTGCGCTGACTGGCCGGCTAAAAATTAAACGAGAAATAGGCTAATGAGGGCGCTGTGACGATTCACAACGTGAGGAATATACTGGCTAATACCACAAAATTTACGTTAGCTACGGGTTACGTTCTATTAAAATGTAAGCTTACAGTTATGGTTTGGGTAAGTTTTTTTCACGCGTAATTGACTAGTGAAGGACGATGACTTAACACTTTCGCCGTGATTGAACAAAATGGCGCTGCCGAGTTAAGATTACGAGCTGCACCATGAATAAGGGGAAGACAATGTAGTTTTAAAGAAGATAAGAATAAGACAAACAACTTTCGATCACTCCAGGATCGGAGTGAGTATGTCTTGTTATGTCTACTTACCATCCGCCATCTTGAAGTTTTAAAGAATACTGCTGGTCTTCTCCTCTCTACTGGCGGCTCAAGGTAATCCAGGCTTTCTCGGCCGACTCATCTGCCACTTTTTCCGCTGCGCCATCAGAACTCAGAATATATGCTTATTATTATCCAACTGCACAAAGTAGAGTACAAATAACGCGCGAATAGAGTACAAATATCTTGCGATATTGTACGGTTATTTGGACAGTTGGTTATTTTGTACTGTAAAAACCTGTTTAACCAGTCGGCTACACGCGCCACGCTTCTCTTTCCACTTCGCTTTTCCCGCCTTAAGAAAAATAAGCAGAAACACTTAGCAAAAAAAAAAGAGCAGTTAGATAGCAAATAACGTGTTGTTTGTAATTTGACTCGCCCTACGGGCTCGTCAATATACGGCACAGCTCGTAAAAATACTCCGCTGTACTACACACCAAAACGTCTAACAAGATATAATTCATGAAAAATTGGTGTGCAAGAATTCAAAAGAATTAACCGAGATCTCTTCAGTGCTATTGTGTATTGGTACTTAAGGTTTGGTAGTTCTACTCCAACACCTGTTCAGTATTTGAATTAGTTCCAGTTATAGCACCAAGATTTGTGTAAGTCTTGTCCGAACTAAAGGTATTATGGTTTCGCAAATCTTAATTTTGGAGGCTAAGAATTGATTTCACCCACTGTTTTCATTTGCCGCAGTGAAAACATCAGGAATGACACAAAATAATTCTTCATAGAAATCTAATTCACCACATACACAAGCTTAATAAAAATAATTTTAATACTTGACAAAAACTCGGTCTTTAGAAGACTTCTGAACTACTTATTCTGGCTTTGCATTCTTGGAAACCGATGAATGTTATGTTGCTGCACAACAACTCCCGATGATTGTCGATCTTTCCCGAACTCATTCCCGTCCTGAGAACACGTCACCCATCACTTTCCAAGAGTGCCGCGGACTTGTCCTCTAAATTTGTAAGTATCAAATTCACAGGAAAAATTATGTTACATAAAATATTTCACTCTATACAATTTTAAAGTATCAAAATGTTAATCTCGCGAATGAAAACGAGCTGCATACGGTAGGCGCCGACAACACCTCTATCAATTTAATTTATTGTAATTATTCCTAATTTTGATCTTACTGTCTGGCATAATTTACCTGGGATTGATTTACTTCTCAAGTCTGTGGTTATAGGATAGAAAGAATAAGAAAACACACCCAAACTTGCAAAAGGTATCTAGGAATAATCAGAGTTGTTGTGAAAGCTCTTTTCAAGTGTCTAAAAGTACCGTGGGATTGCAATAGTTTTCTTTTGACATACTCTGTGATTGTTCTAAAAAGACTTGCCCCAGTCCCTACTCTTTGAATGGTCGAAACCGAAAAAAACTCGAAACAGTCCTTGAACCAATCAGAAGCCAAGCTAATAAAGCAAATCATGACTTAGTCTGGCACACCTCAGGAAGTTTGCTCGTTTTCTTTTTTGAACTTTCCACGAATCCTTAAACGTATTGACATTGTCTGCTGATACTTAAGATTTGGTTTTACGTCACTCAGTCGACACGCGCTCTCAATTTAATACATCACCCTAACGAAATAAGAAAAAAACCAGAGTGGGCAAAGAACTATCCGCAGACCACTTTTAGCTGTCCACACACTTCCCCTCAAATAACTTTTCCAGAGCCAAATTCTCCCCTTATGTAAACCTCTATGAAGCTGTGTTAGTCGTCTTATCTCCGATTACGGAATCTCTGAGAAGTTTCACTCCCAAGGAAATTACACTTGTTTATCACGTCGATAACAGAGGTTAGAACCCAAAGTCATGTGTCAGGGCGGTTTCCCTGCTCCTTGGCGAGTCTCGCTGGACACAAAGACTCATAACGTGCCCTTGTAAGAAAATTTTTCCATGCGGCACTTGAATCTGAAGTGAAAGCAAATTCTTATTTTCACCAGTTTTTAATAATTTAGGAAGACGGCTTGTCTCCTTCGCAGAAGTGTTCGGTTTCATCATGCGACGCACTCCGTTCCCCAGAGTACCCTCAGCGTGGGAGAGAGCGCATTGCGTGACGAGACCAAACAGCGACTGCAAAGGAGACCAGATGACGGTCGGACTAAGAACAAGCCATTGGAGCAAATTTCGTGACAGCGTACAAAACGTAACTTTTGAGTCCATGCGTCATAAAAATAGGAAACTTTCCTTCAAGAATACTTTTTTCCTGGGTTTCTAGCTCCAAATGGTGTCCAAAATGACCCGTTAACTTTTAACTTTCTGGGAATACTCAAGGAGATGCGTGAAAACTTGGAAGAACTGTGACCATTATCGCGCTCGAAGTTTGAGCTGAGCAATGTAGCTACACATTTTCAACGTGGGTCCCAGTTTCATTCGCGTGAACTGCATCAGGGAGTCGCGTGATAACAGCATCAGTGCTTGGCCGTCGATTTCCTGTCAAAGATTACGATACACATCAGTGACGTTAAATGGTTTGGGGCTAACCGACGCCCAAAAGTGTAATATTAAGCTCTCGACTAAAAAAAAGGCACCGCGTGGGGCGTCACTCTCAAACGAATCTTAATACAAGAACATAACAGTGTAGCTGCATGCATTTACCTGATCTAAAAATATATTAGCATAATGTAAGCAGTCCGTTGAGCGCACGTATCTCACAACTTGTTCCACTGACCACGTGGAAGGATTAGCGGGGAGGTCTGGTGATCGGCCATTAACGCAGCCCGGAAGTGACGTATTAGTGCCGACATCAACGCAGAACGGCTTTGGGCGTATGGGTCGATTCCCCAAGGGGGAGAAGGGTGAGTTTGACGTCGGGGAATGGTAAGGCGAATATCTTGATGCAGAGTGGTGACCTGAGTGGAAAAACAAATGTACTCTCCTAAAAATACTCTCAGAGTATCGGCAAACTAGATAGCGGTTGGTAAAAGAACGACTCATTTATGATTTTTTACCGCTCGTAAAAGAGCTCTTGCAGTAGGATGAGGGGTATAACTAAATCAAAAAGGATGAGAAGGCCCTGCTGCAAGATGAAAAAAAATCTGGGTCCTCCACAAGTTTCGAACGTGTCAACCGTTCTTTAACTAGTCTGGTGCCATACCACTGAGAAAAAAAAGGACTTGAAGGCTCAACTCAGAGACAATTGTGTCCTCGTACCAAATTTCATGAGTATGAATTTCCTTCGCCCCGGAAAATTCACACTGTACTTTCACCCGACCAGGTGCCAACTTAAAGGGTGACCACTTGCGACTTGGTTAATCGCAGTTTCCCGCTCCTTACTGATAGACAGTTTTACAGGATCACAATTCGAGTTCTGATTCGCTTCTTGTGATAATTGCCTTTCTTCTGATTGGCTGCTATGACCTTCAATCAGAAATCGCTTTATCTTTACTTTACGTGAGTAATGATCTTTTTCTGATTCATTACATGTTTTATCGTACCTCTAGGATCCGTTCCAGAGCTCATGCGCATCATCTTAGCACCCTTAGGAGAAGTGATGCGCTTGTCGCCAGGCATCCCTGTTCCATGGTGGGCATGTGCACGAGAAACTGACGGCGAGCGAACCATAGGCGAGGTGGAACCAGAGGGTCCTGCGGTACCCAACTCTCGAACCACAGGTACACCAGGGATCATCGGGATTTGCGACGGCCCGCCCAAGCCTGGGGATTTCAGTTTAGGTGATGTTACTTCGTTAGAATCTGAAAACAAAAACAAAGGTGAAAAATACTAGTTTCGTTAAAAAAAATTTAAGAAGGACCACTTTAAATTCATATCCTTTTAAAAGTTAATAGGAAAAAATGACCGCGTTTTATCGTAAGCAATGAACCCTCAGCAAGAAAAATAATACCTTTCTTCATTCGTCCTTTCCTCTTCTTGATTATAGGCTTTACTCTCCTTCTCTCTTCTGTCTCGTCCCAATCTGGATCACTATTCGAGAAGCTCTCTGTCTTGAATCGAAACCCTATGCCCTTTGGCGGCCGGCCTCGCTTTGGTCTTTCCCCTGAAGGAGATTTCGGAAGATCGTCGAGTTCAACTTCTTCCTCCATGGCAGCTACTTCGGAAGTGCTCGGCGCGCCTTCTTCGTCCTTCCGACGGTATTTCGACTTAATGTAGGTCAATCGTGTGCGTTTTCTACGCTTCTTTTTCAGCCACCAAAGGTTTCTCTTCGGAGGCGATTGTGATTTGTCTCCAATTAATTCCTCTCCTTCTCCTACTTCTTCTTCTTCGTCCGCCATTTTTCTTTCTTCGTCTTCTTGCTCTTCTTTTATGGTTATCTCTTCGGTTATCTTCGTGTCTTTATCGGTCGCGTTCGTGAGGGCTTGTAAATGCTCGATGGAACTTTTCGGTTGTATCGGGGTTGGCGCAAGGTGAGATTTTGACATTGATACCGAATCCACTAACGTAATGCCAGGTAAACTGGATCCAACACTTCGCTGTACATTGCCAGACACTGTAGGCACTGGGAATGGCAATTTGAAGCTCTAAAGAAAAATTCAGTAACAAATAAATGTTCAACAGTAAACACGTGAAAAAGGAACTAGTTGCTTCGTGTGATTTTCAGCACTACCCATTTACGGACGATCACGTCAGTTATTGTACAAAAGACTACCTTCGTTAAATCAATTCTTTTCCGCGAAGGTTGTTATTTTTCAGGGGGACTCGGGACTTTAAGTGTATTTATCTATGCTTGTGGATCATCGAGAAGAGAGATTCTTAATGCTCTGTTAAACTGGAGCGACAAAAAGGCAAAAAAGGCCGGAGAAGCAACGACGATACTTGTAATGTGATCTTACCTGTTGATGGGGGGGCATCTTCAACGGAGCTCCTCCCTGGGGACGCATGGGAGGAGGATGCCGGGGATACCCACTTCCTAAGGGTGCTCTGACACTCGAGAACCTCAGGGGGGCATTCCGCGGAGACATACCAGGATTTATTGATCGGGGGATCCCTGGATAGTTTGGCATAATTGGCCTTTGGGACATAGTTGCGACGCCCGCTTGCGAAACCACCCTATCTCCCGAACCTGGGTGAGGCTGTCCGCTGGAGCTTGAAACCCCTGGGGAGCTACTGAGGGGAGGCGGCGGAGTATTTCCTTGAGG